ACGTTTTTGTTTAAATTCGGGCTGTATTTTAATGCCACGAGGATGCGACATAGCTTGCGATTTGTATGCGGAGAGAAAGGACGATGGATTAAAGAGCGTAATTTAATGCGCCTGTTCCGATGCTGCGCCTGAACAAGTGGAAGGAGGATTTTGGAATGGACTTGAGCGATGGCCGCAGATGCAAAACGAAAAACGGTGGTCGCCAGACACGAATATCCTACTACGTCGGAATCCGCAGCCGCCGCAACCAAGCTCGACGATGGCCTCGCAACGACCAACGACGACGATGACGACGACGACGACGATGAGCAAGAAAGTGCACTTTGCCGATTGCGCGCAAGCGTACGAGTTTGCACTTGGCCATGGCGGCAGCGCGGTGCCCTTGGAGCAAGGCCCGGCGGTGGGCCTTGTCGGCGCACCCGTGCGCATTGGCGTGACGGCATTGCGCCGGTCCGAGTGCCGTCGCCGCCTGCGCAAGTTTGACAAAGACGAACGGGTTGCGATTTTGCGCGCGGCTGGCCACGAGATGAAGGACATTGTGGCCTTTTGCGTCGAGGCGCTCGACATTCGCATCTCGCGCGGCGCCAACAAACGCACGTGCGCCAAGAAGAAGCGCAGCTCGGAAGTCGCGCGCAATACAGAGATCAACGAGAACGCCAACATTGAGTTTACCCTCGAAGCGTACTAAGAGGCGAACGAAGCCATCACTAAGTTATAAACGCTCTCGACTCGCAAGAGCATGCTGACGCGTCGTCGAATAGTGTTGGTACAACCATCCCAATCGTGGCCGCCTTTCCAGCAGCCTCCAAGTCCCGTCCGTATAAATAGCACACTAGTACCCGTTGCGGTGGGCAAGCGGGGATGGAGCCGACGATGGCCTTTGAAGACGTCGAGTTTGTGCGGCTCGTGCAAACCACCGCATCGGCCATCGCCAAAGATCTTCGGCACGGCGCGCCCGACGACGCTGAGCTGCGCCTCGAGGTGCTGCACCTCGCTCTGCTCGAGTCGCCGGGCCTCGTCTTTGCCGTTGACGCTGACGGGCACTCGCCGCTGCATTGGATTGCGCAGCTGGGATCAATCTCACTCCTGCAGCTCTTTCTTGACCACGATGCACCGCTGCTCGTGCGCGACAAGAACGGACTCCTCCCGCTGCACTGGGCAGCGGCAGCCAACAACTTGCCAGCGCTCCAGCTCCTCTTGGCCCAGCCTGAGTCGTGCATTGATGACCGCGATGTAAAGAAAGGCCAGACACCGCTGGTACTGGCCGCGCGGCACGGCCATGCCATGGCGGTGCGTCGCACTTCTTGTTGGTCTGGATCCACATCGTTGGTCGTCGGGGGTAGGTGCTCTACCTCCTCAAGCACGGCGCGAACCCGTCGATCGTCGACAGCGCCGAGGTAGATTCGCGCTACAGTGCAATGGCATCGAGTACAGACTCTCGTTGTCTGCTTTGAATAGGACAATTTTGTGCACTGGGCGGCGTACAAGGGCAATGTCGAGATTTTAAGCTTGTGCCACACGTACGCCAGCGCGTTTGGCGTCGACTTTGGCCTTTTTCGAGCACTCGACGCCTTTGGCCAGTCGCCGCTGCACCTCGCGGCCAACCAAGGGTACTACACTGCTCCTGATCGTTTTCTGTCTTGCAGCAGACGAACGAGCCGCTCGCTGTAGGCACCTCGGGTGTGTCGAATATCTGATCGAAGAGCTTGACGCCGGCGTCGACGTCTGCGATGCCAAAGGGCACACGCCACTCCAACTCGCCCAGCTGCGCGGCCACGCGTCGGTGGTTGCGTACCTCGCGCGCAAGTTTGCGCCGGCGTGGAACCGGCAGCTCGGCCACGCCTTGTATTTCTGGTGCCGCCATGCAATGAACGCCGAGGCCGTCTCGCTTCAGCCGTTCTTAAGCCGCCGCGCGCCCCTGTACTTTATGGTGGGCAATAGTGCGCTCGGCGTCTACTGGCTCCTGCGCATGGACAAGACGTCATGGGCGTGGACGACCCAGTTTGTGCTGCAGGCAATGGCTTGGAGTGGCTTTGTGTGCGCCGCCTCGATTGCACCGGGCGCTGTCATCCACGAAGCATCGCTGCGCGACTCGTACACTGCGAGCATGGTTCGCCTTCTCAGCGACTGTGGTGATGACGGCCTCCACTTGCTCGAGAACGTCCGGCTCTGTCATACGTGCTGCGTTGAAAAGCCCATCGGCTCCAAGCACTGCCGGTTCTGCAAGACGTGCATCCTTCGCTTCGACCACCAGTAGCATCTCCCTCTACCGGCTGGTCTCACACGACGATGCTACTAGTTGCCCGTTCATCAACAACTGCGTTGGCCAGCGCAACTATACGTTTTTCCTTCTCTACGTGGGCGCGATGGCGGCTGCGTCCGGGCACCTGGCGTATAACTGGGCGATTCACGGCACCTCGACGGCGGGTAGCGTTCTCGGGGCGCTCTACTATGGCGGTGTCGGCGTCGTCGCCGGCAACTTGTTTTGCTTTCATCTCTTCCTTGCGTCCATTGACGTCTCGACCAACGAGTACCGCAACCGGCACCGGTACACGCACCTCAAGGACCGTAAGTTTGGGTCGTTTACGAGCCCGTGCAGCGACGACTGCGTCCCAAAATGCCTCGCGCGGCTGTGCATGAGCCTGCCGCCACTGCCCCGTGGGCTTCGCCGTCGCGCTTCGTCGCTCAAAAGCAAACTCATCACCCACGAGAGTGGCGGGAAGGCTCTCAGCGTCTAGCTTGCATGTCTTTCTCAACACGACGCGTTGGCTCCTTGCGGGCGAAGAGGCTTCGCTGTCGATATGTACCGCGTTCCTCCTGCGACGAGTAGCGGCGTTGGCTCGAAGGCAGCTGCGGTGTGGACACGGCTTCTCCGCGACACGAGGCTTGCAGGCTACCTCGTAGGAGACGAATCATCGTGCCATGAGGCCCCGGCTGCGCGCAAGATACCGACAGCAGTCCTTCAAACTTCGTTCCAGCCAGCGTCTATTTGGCGAACTACGGTTGGAAATCACACCCAATCCGCTACCAAGTACCCTACTTAGGATTCGCCACAGGATTCCGCGTACTGTCTGTCGGTACTCAAAGGCAGAGTTTATGCAGGAAGGTATCCATCGAGTCATCCATGATCTCTGGTGCGACGGTGTCTGGCGCATGCTGCTTGACGCTACGACCGCGCCCCTTTGTGCAGACCACTTTTATGTTTGGCGGCATCACATACGGTACATTTGAAAGCTGGCGCGTTGAACCGAACGGCAACTTGACGCTGCGAACTTCGATTATAGAGACGAGGGTTTGATTGGCCAGCAGCTTATGACAGGCGCATTGGATTGGCTCGTTTTCAATATGACGCCCGCCAGGATATATTCTTTCGCCAATTTTCCACTAGCGTGGTAGCGGGTTGTAGTTGAAGAGGGTCTTGCTTGGTCCGTGAAGTCCCTGGATGCAACATATCCACTTCCCTTGAAAGTTAATAATGAGATGGCTAGGTCTAAGGCAACTCGCATGAACCCTTTCCAACTTGGATTCTGAGAACGCCACTCCAAGATTTCCCCGTGGTGAGGCTACCTGACCGTCTCGAGAGGCTTGAGAGTCGAAGAGGCTCGGCAACGCAAGCTGGTAGTACACACTATTTGAAACTCCTTTCGTGCTGCGCCGGGCGCCGTCGCGCCATTCTAGTGATATGCGCGCGACCCGACCCAGAATCTGGCGCCGCGTCAGCTTCGAACTTCGGTTGTACCAGATCGTGACCGTGTCTCTGCAAGCGATGTCGGCCCATTTCTTGTTTCGATCCCGACCCTCCTTTGCCGACAATCATAATGCGGCGCTTCGTGGTCCTTCTCTCCACCTTGGTAGCTGCGGCGCCGGGCACCCTCGTCCCGTGCGCGACCAACTGCCTTCTGCTTTCGAATGGCTCGACCGTCGCGCTACTTCCGACCAACGACAGCACGATCGACCTCGTGCAGCAAGGCCTGGAGCGCGTCGCCGGCCTCCCAAGCACCGTCCTCGCCCTGTACTTGCTCGTCACCAAGAGGCCAGCGCTCACGCCTAGTATCTCTGCAATAGAAACCTGTCTCGGAATGCCATCACTGCGATCGATGCCAGTGCCACCCAGCTGACGACCCTGTACGAAATGCTTGGTCGTCTTTGCCAGAAAAGCTCATCGGTTCGGCGTGCAGGGATCTCAGCTACAACCGTATTCAAGGCGCAAGCCCGATCGCACTGCCAACCACCCTCACAACCTTGTGCGACAACCTTTTTGGTGAAGAATGCTCTGACGACATGATCCGCGTAGGGACCTGAGCTACAACAACATGACAAGCCTCGACAACACAACGTTCCATTGGACGCAGCTACCGTTGCTTCAGAGCTTGTACGTCTTTTCCTCGACGACGATAGTGATTCTGGTTCTCATGCAAGTGCGTAGGAATCTGCGCGGCAATTTCCTCTCCCGACTTCACGGCGTGCAGTTCCCGCCAACGCTAACCCGCCTGTACGTGTGGCATCTCCGAGGAAATTTTTCTGAATAGCGTTGTTTGAATTAGGGACCTCACCAACAACCCGCTGACCTACATTGGCATGGACCAAGCAACATATGCGGCGCTCTCGTCGCCGCGGGTCGTGATCCTTCTGGACCGAAGGCTTGTCGGTCGGAGCCTTGAGTGCCCGACGGGCATCGTGGCGCGACTGCAAAACTCGATTTCAGTTTGCATTGAAGATGCCAGTGGCGTTGTGCAGGCAGCAGCGCAAGGTAGTGCGATGATGGCATCTCGAGGCGTCGTCTCACCCCAGTGTTTCGCAATAGACTACATGATGCGGTACTTGGTCGTCATTTCGACGGGCACGTTTCTTGTGGTCATGCTCCTCCTCTACCGCAAGTACCGAACGGCCTACCTCGCGAGCGAAGACGCCGAGTATCTGCGAGCAACGTGCACAAGCTCCATCTTGCACGAAGACGACGGGCCCACGCAGTTTGTGGGGCTACCGACGCCAGACGAGAAACGGGACACGGTTCCTGGCGCGGTCTAAGATCTAATTTATTACTGAACCTATTATTTTATTCGACACCGCTACACACACTATTTCCATCAACACAGAGAACTACAGTATATCCGGCACAAGTCGAAATCGGGGTGATGAGCGAGCGATCCTGGACACACCTTGGCATCATCTTGTGGATGATGCGATCACGCCGTCGAAGACGGCGACGGATGGAGGCTTGGCGAAAGCACGCGCCTGGCGCAGCTGCATCCACGACCAGCGTCGTCTGGCGTCGCGGTCCACCTCTCTTGCAGCCAGGATCGATGGATACCCTGCCTCGAACCAGGACAACGTAATCCTTGACACGCACACTATTTCAAGACGTATCCAAGTGTGACAGCGATTGTCAACAAAAATATTTGGAGCGTTCATTCGATCATTTCCGACGTGGCGCGCATGCCGATGCTTCGCCTTCTCTTCTGCTGGACGCTCGCGGTGCTGCTTTTGCACCCGCTGGAAGCGGCAACCAGCGCTAGCACCCTCACGCTCGCCACCTGCGACGACGCTGCTTGCCTCCATGCGAACGCCACCAAAACCGGTGTTGTCCTCTTCAACACGACACTGACAACCGTGAACGCGTCGAGATTGCACATTGGCCGTGTGACGAGCCTGCCACGCAATGTCACAAGCCTGTACAAGTCCATCGACTCGGATGTTGCTGTTGCTCACCTCGTGATGTGCATTAGGGATCTCTCTCAGAACGCCCTCTCGTCGCTCGCTGGCGACGCGTATACGTCGCTAACATTTCTGTACGTCACGTGATTCGACATTATAGAAGGCGAACCAGAGGTTCGTAGGAATCTGAGCCAGAACGCGTTCCAGTCGACGAGCGCGCTGTCGCTGCCGACCTCGATTCGCATCTTGTACACACCCGCTCCTATGCTTTGTTGCACCATTATTCATCCTTCGACTGTAGGGATTTGAGCGACAACAATGTGAGCTACCTTGATGCGACCACATGGGACTGGCAGCGGTATCCGTCCCTCTCCACATTGTACAGAGATTGTTGTTGGCTTGGTTGAACTCAATTTTGCGGGGGCATAGACTACTGCGAAGCAACAACCTCACGCGGCTCGAGTGCAACAAATTTCCAGCTTCGATTACCGAAATGTACGGGATTGCTGGACGATGGACAATGCTTTTATGCAGGCATGTAGTGACCTCTCGGGCAACCCGCTGGTGTCGTTTACCATGGACCAAGCTACGTACTCTGAGCTTCTCGCCCGACCCGTCAGTATACGCGTCGACAACACGGCGGGCATTATCAAGAGCTGCCGTGGGAGTCCCCTTCCGCTCCACGGCACGGTCGTCTGCGTTGGCTCGCGGTCCACGACCAGCACGTCCCGCGCTTCCCAAGGTCCTCTTTTTTGAGTTTTCGGCATTTATTGACGCAGTGCGTAGGCTACGTGCTGCAGTATTTGCTCATCATGCTCGCAGTGACCATTGCGCTCTTGGTGGTGGTGCAATATCGCAAGCGCCGTGCGCGCGCCGATGCCAACGACGACCCGGAGATGCTTCGCGCCACGTGCACGAGCTCCGTTTTGTACGAACACGACCCGCTTCAACTCGTGACGCCATGGCTGCCGCATGACAAAGACGCTTGCGACGCCAACGACCGGTCGCACGATGGGTCGCGCGTGTGATCTTGGTGTTTAATTAATTTATCGTAATAAAATGTAGTGATGACCATGGAATCACACTATTTCGGTTGTTGAAGTTGATCCGGCTGACACACGCGCGTTGGAGCTCGGAATATACTTCTTCCTCAAACCTTGACGTTTGTGTTTCTTCTTCGTACCGTGAAGCAGTAGCTCCCGAAGCGCCGTCGGTCTGGATTCTTGGCAGCGCTGCTTCATGGCGTGGATAGAAGTAGCTTGTTGTGGCGGGAAAAGTCGTCGAAAGAATAAAATTCCCGACTCTGTTTTGCGTTCTGAGCAGAGCCCCGACCTCTCTGCGTCTCTACGACTCCTTCCCATGACGGTCGGACTCGGAGGTGCACAAACCTCGGTTCTTTCTTGATCCGGTCGTGCGACGACCAGGAACATAGAATCCAATTCCTTGATATTTCTAGCAGCACCTAGGTGGCTGCACGAGGAATAAGCAACGCATCGCAGGCAGCCAGCGACGTCCGAAGACGACTACCTACCGGTAGTGCGCTAAGATGTCGCTTTGCCGAGAGCGGTGGTATGAGCGTTCCGCAAGCCAGCACTGATATCGTAGTTCGAAGTGCAGAAGACATCTAATGGACCAATCCCATGGCCTCAAAGTCGAAGTTAAAGTTCGAGTGTGAATTTTGGAACTCGGCCGTAGTTTCGTTCGCGGCTGCTGGGCGAGTGCCATGGTGCTAGCAAGGACGACCCGCCGACCGCTGCTGCTGTTGCTCGTCCTGCTTCTATGCACTACGCCGATGGTGCTTGGCATCGGCGCCACGCTGCTTCAGCTCTGTCCGTCTATCACGTCGACGCCGTCGGCGTGCGTGCGTCAAGGCGGCAATGGCAGCGTCAGTGTCATCGCCGCCAACGACTCGGGCGCCATCGACCTCTTCAACATGTCTATCACGACTGTCGAAGAGCTGCCCGTGCAATTCACGACCTTGTACGCGGCGTCGGAACACTCTGTCGCGCTCATGCCAGGTACCTCGTAGGAACTTGTCCAAGAACCTCATCGACTCGGTGCGGTCCATGTACCTTGGCCCATCGCGTCTCTCCAGCCTGTACGTGCGCGTGGCATGAATGCTTGGCTGATTTCTTATGCATTAGCGACTTGAGCCACAATAGCATCCAGTCGTACAGCCGCTTGGCGCTCCCAACGACGCTGACCGTTCTGTGCGTAGCGCGTGTGGGGTATTGAGCTCGCCGTCTCATGTAGTACAAACTAGGGACTTGAGCTTCAACAACTTGACGCGGCTCGACGCAACGACCATCAATTGGATGTTGTTTCCCAACCTTACCAAGCTGTATGAAATGCCACGTCACGTCGACGTGTTGACAAGTCCATAGGATCCTCCGCGGCAACAACATCACGTCCATTTCCAGCACGCATTTCCCAGCGTCGCTTCAGCACTTGTACGCATGGCTGCTCGATCGCATGTGTCGACTTGGCTCAAATCTAATATTGTGTATACTACTAGGGACCTGTCGATGAACCCCATTTGCCGGTTTGACATTGATCCGACCACGTACTACCAATTCCGCAGCGATTCGTTCGAGTTGATGGCGTCCATGGCCCCGAACGCGTTTCAAATGGCGTGCGTGAGCTGCCCCGGCACGCTCGTGGTCGGCCAAGGCCTCGCGCTCTGTGTGTTCGAGGGGTCGCGCGAGCACCTCTTGAACCAGACCCAAGGTATTTCCGTCGCTTCTGATTTCATCGAGTCTTTACAAGTTTGCAGACTACTTCTTACGCTACTCGATTGCGATTTCGACCGTCACGGTGCTCCTCATGGCCGTGCTCTGGTTCCGCCGGTACCGGCAAATACAGCGCGACCGCGCCGAGCTCTCGATGCGCGACACGTGCACGAGCTCCATCTGCGCGCAGTACGACGGCGTCCCGATGCAGTACCGCATTTCGCTGTCGCCACCGGCCGCAGCCCCGACCATCTCGAGTAGTCGTTGCATGCGGCCATCGACCGACACCCAGCGTACAGACGCAAGCACGGCGACGTCTGCCTTCCGCCCATGCGATCGGTCGAGCATATAGGTTACGAAGAGTCTCGTGGAAACTTGGATTTATGTGACTCGAGCAAGACACGACTGTACCAATACCAGTAGTATTAGCTTCATGATGCACGCGTCTTCTTGCATAGAAGCGCCCATGTGTATGTACTTCGTCGACAGATGCGAAGCAGCTTCAAAATGAAAGTGGTTCGCGGTCTCGTTGCTGCTACAAAGCCTTTGCATAGATAGAGACTCGCTATCTCCATCATCTTCTTCATTCGCTCACAGGCGGCGCTACGGAAGGATGCGACCGCGAGTGAGGCCCGCGACTCAACCAGAGGCGATAATGTATCAATCGAAGCAATGCACAGTGGCAGTATACTGCTACTAGCAAAAGGACACGTGCCAGCAAACCGCCTATTGGATAGGATAGGAAAGCGCTGTCGAATGGATAATACGTGTAAGAGGATTGCGGGAGGATAGCAGAAGGATACGTCTGGCATACGAGCAAACGAGCAGCAATCAAGACAACAGCAACTGGACTGCAGCGCCATGCATTGGCGACATCACGTCGGCGCTACCGTGCTGTTGTGACAACGCCTTGCTCAAGGTACATGTAGAAAGGGTTTGAAAGAGCTTAATTAGTTTGATAAGAGATCGCGTTTACGAAAACGAGCCGACAATGCCGTTGATGGCCATGGTCAGCATCGAGAGAATCCCAAGTGTCCACGCCGACGTCCGCGGCCAAAAGATGTGGTTGGCAAACGCCAGCGTGTGCACAACGCGGACGATGGTAAAGACGATGTACGCGACCGACGTCACGGACGTGTTGCCGCCGGCGAGGATCGACGTCCAGGCCAGAATGATGCCGAACGGAAGGTTCTCGAGGTCGTTGCCGACGATGCGCTGCCAGCGGATGTCGTCGGCCTTGGCTTGCTGGTGCGCGTCGCTCTCGACAATGTTGGCCGAGAGACCAAAGTTCTGGCGCGGGATCGCCGAGCTCGCGGCCATGTCCTCGGGCGCGCGGGTGCCGGCCGTGAACTTCTTGCCGCCCTGGACCATGAGCGACGCGAGGTACTTGACGTACAGGATCGCCGTGCACAGCATGAGCACCTGCGTCGTCGCCGGCGTCGAGATCATCTTCGTGCGGATCAAAGTGAAATTGGAAATGGGACTTCATGGCCCTTCGCCAGCCCGTTTCGTACAGTGGTGCAGCCGACGAATCCCTCGCGCAAGGCCATTGGCTAGAATGTTTTGGCATGGCCAATCCAAATGCGCCATTTGGGAATCTTATGAGAGTGAGAGAGTGACGGACAGCAAACTGTAGTCGAATCCAATGACGTCGTGTTGATGTGATCGGACTTTGATGGTCAAGTCCAAGGTCCTTCCTTGGTCCTCTACGGTACCGGTACTGCGATGACGAGCGTGGCGCGCGGAAAATGCAGATAAAGCAAAGGCTTCCCGAACCGACTGACGAAGACGTCGGAGTGTCGGAGTGGTGGTATATGAATCGCAGAGTGATGTTATGGCGTCGACGAGCTCATCCAGCGTATAGAGACGCATGTGACGCAGTCTGTGAAGAATTTTGCGGTCCATGCAAACGTTTCCTGGGTCTTATACTGGTTCCTATAGTGCCGTATCAACCTTGTGGGCGAGACCCATTGCCCAGAGACCGAGATTCCGCTTAACGATGTCGTTCGTAGCTCGTTCGTTCCAGTCGTTCGTTGTTGAAGTAGATCGATCGCTCCATTTTGTTGCGTGTTTCTCGCATTCCGCCGATACAATTGTACGCCGCGAGAAAAAACGCAGATGCATCGCTAACACTCTCCACTCCCGACGACGCTCTCTTTCAGTTGTACTGACACGAATGGTCTAATTTGGGGACTAGGCAGCGTCGTGTTGGCGCTCCACTCAGTCTCTGCTCTCTGATTTCGAAGACCAACGCCACTTACAACATTCTATTTGTCAAGCCCGCTGATTTCAAAGCAAGTACTACCGGTAGCTCGAGCGACTAGCCTCGCTTGTGCTTGCGAAACACGCCCTCGAGCTGCTTCTTTTTTGACCCTGAAAACGACGCGATGCACGCGATAGGCGTGTCGCCGTACACATCCACCCGCGAGGGGATCGCGCCAGCGCGCAAGAGGTGCTTGATGCAGCTGGCATGTCCCCGGATCGCGGCGAGGTGCAGTGGCGACCAATGGTGCTCGGGCTCGACCGCCTGGACGTTGGCGCCGCGATCAATCAGAAGCTCAAGGATTTCGCAACGGCCTTGCGATGCGGCCCAGTGCAGACCGTTCCAGCCATGCTATTTTGTCTTTATTGTTGAGAATATATGTCATTCGTGTTTGAAAGGCGGTGATCGTACCTGGTCGGTGATGTTGACGTCCGTGTCGTCGCCCAAGAGATCTTGAACGCGCCGGAGGTTGCCGCGGAAGACGGCCTGTAAAAACACCTTGCTTTCGTTCGAGACGGTCGGACTTGTCTTCTCGACCTCGTCGGCCGCATCGCTCTGGTTGTCGTCGTCGTTAGCCGCCTGGACTGCTTTTTTGGCTGGTTTCTTTTTTGTAGTTGCATGGTCGTCGTCGAAATCCTATGTCGATGGCGCGCTTTATCCGATGACATCATCGGCAAGAAGCGCCCACATACCGAGTACCCATCGTCGTCGTCGTCGTCGTCGTCCTTGTCGTTGTTGTTGTTGCTGCTCTTGGTGGTTGTCGTGGGGGTGGCAACGGCGGTCGTCGGGGCGTGTGCAGTTTTTTGAACAACGACGGCTGCTTCCTTGAGCGTCGCGGCCACCTGCGCCTTTGTGACGGCCGCGTCTTCGGCGGCGACGGCCCGCACCGCCTCGACAAGAATGGCCCCGACGGTGCTTTGCTGGCGCGCTTGGTCTTGCTTGACCGCCTTGGATGCGTCGGCGAGCGCGTGAACGACCGCTGCATCGCGCTCTTGTTCGACTTCTGTCGCGATCTGGACAAGCGACTGCGTCGGCGCCTTCTGGAAGGACGACCGCGAGTCTTGGCGCAGTGTCTTGGCAACAGTCGTGAGCGCGGCGCTGTCCGTAGAGGCTGTCACGGCGGCTTGCAACGAGACGCTCGGTGCGGCGGCCACGTCTGCGAGGGTTGGCGGCGTTTCCTTGGCGACGGTCAAAAGCGACGGCTTGTCGGCCAAGGCGATGCTCACCAACGTCGGCTTGGCAGCGACGCTCTGCATAGCGGACGCCACGTTTAGAAGCGAGCGCTTGGTTGAAGCACCTTGGTTGGCGACATCGAGGAGCGATTTCGGCGCCGACATGACAGCTCACGACAACGCTTCATAACGGTCCATAACCGCTTCCCGCCATGACGCCGACGCGCGCCATGGTTTTTCAAACAAGGCCCCACCAAAGCACACCGTCCTGGCTTGCGCCTTTGACAGCAGCTAGCTTTCACCAGGGCGTCCGCGGATGTTCATGTCGCAGTGGTTGGTGGCATTCCGCGCCCCTGATTGGCCCTTGCCAGCTGGCGAGTGCCAGGAGGATCTTTGTCGGTGAAACCCAAGAAAGATACCGTACGCCAGCAAACCAGCAACATCGACTTGGTACACCTTGGCATTGCGCTGCTTCAAGCCAAGACCCTTGTTCAAGCGCGCCATCGACCAACCACTGTCTTGCGCGTCCATGCAATGGAACCTATCGCGCATCCTGCGCCGGTCGCCTGCATGACATTGTGTGCTGAATCCCAAGTCGCACATCCGATCGCACGCGATGTGCACGCGATGTCGGAGGCCTGGCGCATGTGCGGGCAAGAAGAGATCAAGCTCAGGAGGCACGCAGCGCATGTACCTGCCGTCGCTCACAGAAGCAAAACGAACACGGACGATGCAAGATCGAGGAGGCTAGCTCTGCAGCCAAGAGGATCGAGGACGGAGGATGGGTGGCTGCTCGCGCTAGCAGCCCGCCACGTGTCTGTGTTGGCTGCATGCTTGTTGGCGACGGGACATGTCGCTCGAGCTGAGCATTGCGAGAGCAACCTTGGCAAACAAGAAGCGAGAGAGCGCCGGCGTGTGTTGGGGTAGCACATTGCTATGCTTCTTTATGTCTGTTGCGGCCGCGGCCGCAAGACGAGACGTGGCCCAACGCGGTGGCGGCCGCCGACGGCCAACAGTTCGAAATCTTGTGCTTGCCCAATAGCGCGCCAGCACACGAGGAAAGGTCCATGGAGATGGCTTGTGGGTCCCCTGAAAAGTGGGGCCAGCCGGCATCCCGTGGCACCTGGATGACTTGATGTTTGTATACATGACGGCTGGATACTGCCGTCAGCGCACGGAAGGTGGCCCCGTCGTACTCGAAATGAACCCTTCCTGGGTCCCCGAATAAAACACGACACATCGCATACTAAAAATGAGCCAAGATAAAGTATTTTAATAATGCTGCACCCGGGGAGGGGTCCTGGCCATCCACGAATGCTGGCTCTGGATTGGCTGGTTTGGAAGATCCCCGACCCCCACCCGGTTGATTTGCCCTACCCCTGGGATCACGTGCGCGCGCCACTTTTATCGCGTAAAGTTGCGTTTCAACTTGAAGTCATGTCACAGCAGTGTCTTTTAGATATTAAAATACATTACGAAGAAGTTGAGGTGTGCGTAAAGTTGCATCGGGACAGGCGGGATTTCTGGTACTTAATGCCAGGTGCTGCGTCTCACGTCCATTTTAATGAAGTAGCTTGGTCTTTGTATGCTACTTCCATCTGTTGGAATAAAAATTCGAACCGGCGTGGCACCAAAAATCGAATCCTCCGAGACTCCGACTTTGCCCATGCTGCAGGCCGCGCGCCAGGCGCTTCGCCGACCTCACTTTGCATTTCGCTCCGCCTTCCGCAGTAGCCGCATACTCAGCACCATGTCGACGACCCAGTGGTTCAGCGAGACCGAGGCCATGTGGCCAGGCCAGAAGTTCTGCCTCGCGCAGGAAGAAGTCCTCTTCCACGGCAAGTCGGACTTCCAGGACGTCCTTGTCTTCAAGAGCCAGACGTACGGCAACGTGCTCGTCCTCGACGGCGTGATCCAGGTCACGGAGCGCGACGAGTTCTCGTACCAGGAGATGATCTCGCACCTCCCGCTCTACTCGCACGCCAACCCCAAGTCGGTGCTCATTGTCGGCGGCGGTGACGGCGGCGTCCTCCGCGAAGTCGCCAAGCACCCGAGCGTCGAGAAGATCGTCATGTGCGAGATCGACCCGATGGTCTGCGATGTCTCCAAGAAGTTCTTTGCCGACACGCTCGCGACGACGTTCAACGACCCGCGCCTCACGCTCATGCACGACGACGCGGCGGCGTTCCTTCGCAACGGCGACTGCGGCAAGTACGATGTCATTATCGTCGACTCGTCGGATCCGGTCGGCCCCGCCGAGGTCCTCTTCCGCTCGGAGTTCTACGAAAACATGAAGAACGCGCTCAACCCGAACGGCATTGTGTGCACGCAGGGCGAGTGCCTCTGGCTCCACATCGACTTGATTGCTGATGTGCTTGGCCGCGTCGGCGGGTTCTTCCCGACGGTCCAGTACGCCTACACGACGATCCCGACGTACCCGTCCGGCCAGATTGGTTTCGTGCTCTGCTCGCTCGACGAGTCGCCCAACGCGCTCAACAAGCCCAAGCGCATCGTCGACGAAAAGACGGCCGAGAACCTCCGCTACTACAACTCCAAGATCCACGAGGCCGCGTTCGTGCTGCCGTCGTTCGCCGAGAAGAAGATCGCGCCGGTCCGCAAGACCACCGTCTAACACCCGCCACATTTTGACCAAATTTTAAATTTAACAAAGTGTGTAGTGTACAGTCCGACTCAAAAAGTGGACTCACTGACCCTAGTGGTCAACATAGCAGACCGTACGCGTCCTTTGTGGGAAAGACGGGGAGGAGGCCCGTGCGGTGTGCACACAGCTCCGCGCGGTCAGAGCCCATTTGCTCGGGCTCGCCAAGGCCGGCCAAGCGTATCATTCTTTTTGCCTGAGCACGAGGTGTACCACCACTTCCTCGTCGACCGCACCTACATCAAGGACATATGGGGCTCGCCGACGTCAGCGCGAAAGGCGCGATGGTTTCAGACGCGCTAGACGTTGTTGAACCAGACGCAGGCGCGGAGCACGGGCCAGAGATAACGGAACGCGGCTTGGTGCATCTTGAAGCGTCGAGTAGAGGTGTAGCCCGAGAGCGTTGTCGGCAAGACCTATGTACCACTGCCAAGTCCATGCACGATTGTCGTCAAGGCGGCGCTCAACTGCACTTGCACGACGTTCAAAGTTGAGGAACGTGATCTTGGTCGGCAGCCCTACCCGGTAGACAAAACTCTCCACAAGATATTATAATACACGAATGTCTCGCATCTCGCTCGTAGATTTCGCGTTAAAACGACCGCGAGTACTTTTTGATTTCGTATAAAATCTCTTGGGTCGTGACAATTTCGGTCGTCGCGCGGCCAGCCTTCTTGCCAAGCTCGAGGAACCGCGTGTAGTACAAGAGGAGTTGCGTGAGCACTTGCTTGAGGATCTCCATGCCGTTTCGAAAGTTGGAGAAAAACTTCATCACGTTCCCGTTCATCTTGTCAATGCCGCTCTTCCAATTCGCGTTAAAGTCCTTGGTGATGCGGTCGACTTTGGCCCCATCCGGTGCGACGCCTTTCGCTTCGGTCTGCTGCACAAACGTAATGAGCGGCCCGTACCACGTCACGAGCTCCTCTTCCACAAACTTGTCGCGCTGGCCCATGAGGAGTTCGTCAAACTTGGCCGTCTCATCGGACGTGATCTTGCGCTCCGTCACGACGCTCGTCACGAGGTCATAGTTGTTGATAAGGAAGACGCACTTGTCCTTGGAGTTCTTGTGCACCTCCGAGAGCTTCTCCAAGAGCAGGACCAGGCCGTCCCGGAGCGCGGCGAGGCCGTTCAAGATCGTTGCGCCGCTCGCTTCGTCGTCCATGGGCGCCAGCGTCAGAATCGACGCGACAAGCTCGGCGTAGCGCCGCGTGACGTAGTGCGGGTGGAGCTCGACGCTGCCAAGCTTCTTGGGCTTGGCCTGGAGCACGCTCTGGACGTTGAGGTCGATGACCGCGTGGTACCGCGGCCACAGCAGTAGCAAGACACGGTCCAAGAACGAGTCGAGGACGGGCACCCGGCGCTTGGCCATGAGAGTCTTATGGTCGGTCGTGAGGCGGATCATGAGGAGGAGGCCGATGCTGTCGAACGACGTGCAGAGGTAGTTTTCCAGTTGCTCGAGGCACAGCGAGAGCGTTTTTGCAAAGATGCGCAGAAAGAACTCGCGGACCCGAAAGCCGTCGGCGCCATGGAAAAAATCGAGCAGGAAGAGATACTCGGACGTCGCCGCATTCATCAAGTGCTGCTGGAGGCTCCGAAAGATGGTCTCGTACGGGCACTTGAGGTTCTCGGCCTGGGCGACGTGGATCATGATGGGCGGCGCGGTCGCTTGCGTCAGAATCTGGTCGCGGTCGCCGAGCGAGAATGCGTTCGTTTGCTTGTTGACATTGACGCGCGACGAGAACATCGACTTGAGCGACGCCTCCTCGACCGCAACGACGTCGGTGCGGGTCGCGGCCTCGTCATGAAACTTGATGAGACCCGTGTGGTAGGCCTTGAAGACGCCAAAGAGGATGCGGCTCATGGTTTCGGCGTACGTCTCGCGAAACTCGAGGGCCATGGACGGCGCTTGGTCGTGCAAGAACGAGACGGCGTACTTCATCTTGAGCAGTGTCGTCTGCTGCACGATCTGCACGTTGGTCTTGGGCTTCTTGAGGTCGTTGATGCGCCCGAGGAGCCACTCACGAATCTATCATGTGGCGTGAGATCAAAAGAGAAAGAGAGAAATCGAACCTGGGCACAGGCGCGCAGCTTGAGCTTCTCGAGGTCCGACTCGACCTGCTTGACCGCGGGCGTCGTACCCGGCACGATGCCAAGCGACGAGGCGTCGGCCTCGGCTTGCTTGGCGTACGTGAGCTTGCTGTTGAGGATCATGAGGTACGAAATGAAGCCGTCGTTGACTTCGCCGTCGTCAATGCCCTCGATGAGCGTCGGCGGAATGTAGACCTACGACAGCGCGAGCATGAATAGGAGAAGTGGGCTATCGAACCATACTTGATCAAGGAAGACGCGGAGACGCTCCTCGGCCTCGCGCCGGTTCTTGAGCTTGATGTTCATGCCAATGGACTCGTTCTGGAGGTGTCGGATCTCGTCGCTGATACCGCCGAGGTCGGCCTGGAATCCAAGGAGCATCTCCTGCATGCGCGCGAGGATGTCGTCGCACGACTGCACTTGGTTGTAGAGGTCGACAATGTCGGCCGACTTGGCCACATACTGCGTGATCGACTCCATCTCGACGTCGCGCAGCTCGCGGTCGATCTGCATCGCGTACTGGCGCAGGTCCACGCCCTTGGCCAGCGCCTCCTTGATGAAGTCGTCTTGCTGGAACTGCTCGAGGTGATCGTCGAGCTCGTCAAAGTCAATGTCTTCCAGCACGTCTTCGTCCTTCATGCCGCCGCTGCTGTGCTCAAGATCTCGGGCGTTTTCGTGTCCTTGTTATCCGTACACTTCGTGAGACCTCGCAGTAGGTTATTTGCACGCTCCTTAAGAGGCGAAAGCCTATCTCTTTGATTTTTAGATTTGCATCCTTGTGGCTGTCTTGGCCTTCGATTCCTGCACATGGCATATTGGTAATCGAATGAACTAGTGTACGCACTCACGCCTCCATAGACGGAGAAGGAGCTCTCGGTCGTCAACTCGGCCGTGATCAACACGGCGTACAACATGCTCAAAGCGCCGACGACCCGCGCCAACTACCTGGTAAGACCTCTTCCCAGTCTTGCATCGTGATCCTTATGGTCCTTCCTGTACTAGCTGCATCTCCATGGCATTGACGCCCTCGGCGACAACACGACGCTCATGGACCCAGCGATCCTGATGCACATTATGGAAGCCCGGTAGGCCTTTGCTATTGTCCTCTACCTCTACCTTGTCTCTGAACGTAGCGAGCAAGTCGACGAGTGCACGTCCCTCGACGAGCTGGAACCGCTCAAGAAAGCCAATGCGACTGACATTGAGGCGTGCGTCGTGCAGATCACTTCGGCTTTTGACGGATCGCATGACCTCGAGACCTCCAAGCGCCTCACGGTGCAGCTGCAGTACCTCATGAAGCTCGCGGAAGCGATCTTGGACAAGGAAGAGGCACTCGAAGGTTAATTCGACATAAGCGTTTCCGATTCTATGTAGCATTACGTGCTTCCACACGGTCCCTCTCGTCGCGGCTTATATCCTCGTCGTCGTCATCATTATCGCTGTTCTTGCTGCCGTCTTGTAAATGCACATCGGAGGGTGTCACGACCGCGTTGGCGTCGACCGACGAAGTCCGGCGAAACTTTTGCAGCACGACACTCACACGTTTGTTTTGAGCGACTTTGGCGAGGCCGTCGAGTGCCTTCTTCTTGAGCTCGAGGAGCATGAGTCGTGCAAATTTGACCATAAAGACGCTGTTGGCAACGACAATGGCAGTCTACAGAACCCGACGTCGGTACCGATCCAAAATGAGAGACGAATACCCCGATGGCGACCCGTGTGCCACCCGTAAGCTGGGGCTGGAAGAGGTAGAGGCCAAAGTACATGGTGAAGAGACACGTGAGCAGCGACGTTTGTTCGAGGTTGTTGACCACATCGAGCTCGTACGGCGTCGCCTCCATGTGGATGTACAACGCCACGAAAATCAGGCCCGTCGCGCCGAGCGACTGCGGCCCCGTGCCCCACGACTTGAGAAAGACCGAGACCATGCTCACAAGCACCTTGCGCATCATGATCCTACCGTCCCAAAATGAGGTATATACTAAAGAGACCGATAAAGAGACCAGATTTCCCAGTAGTAGTGCGCCAGCTTGTACCTAGGAAAAGACATGTCATCATGAGTCCTCGTCGACATGAAACCGTCACATGCGACAGACCCATCGTAGAGAAATCCAAATTGCAGTTGCGTGCGCGGGTCGTCCAGCGTCGCCCGACGTGCACGAAGGACGCCATAGGCAAAGCCGGGGATGCCAAACGTAATGCACAAAACGCTTGGTAGACCGACGCCTAGCATCCACTTGAAGTGGCTTGCATCGTAGCACGGGATGTCGAGGTCGGCGTCCAGAAACGCCATGGCGACGCCATGCTCGTCCATGCCGAGCTCAGAGCAGGAAAAGAGCTGGAAGATCTGCTTCGTGACGCCCGGGTGGATGAGGAACATGAGCACGATGATCGAGAGCACCGACTTGTCGTGGATCTCGCTGCGCACGGCGTCGAGATACGCGGCCTTGACGGTACTGAGCGGTTGTGGTCCGTCAACGAGCTTTCCTATTGAGCGTGTGCCCAAAAGGACAATGTCGGTCGGGTCTTCGCCGACGGCGCGCAAAATATCTTCAATTTCAGCGTCGAGAACGAGTACGTCGGCCCCCGTACCGCGACCGAGCGTCGCTTGCAGTAGCGGTGGCCACGCTTTCCGCTGGATGCGCTGCCGAGTAAAGCGAAACTTGAGCTTCCAGTACACAATCGGAATGACGACACAGAGCAGCGGCAAGCAAAGGTACAAGATGAGCTGTTCGTGGTACGACGAGAGGCCTGCGGACGACGAAGCCGACGACGGCGTCTTGTAGTGGTTCATGAGGCAGTTGATCGAGATGAGCTTGTCGGCAGGGTTGGACATGGCGCTCTGCGTGTTGAACATGGACGAAACGACCGCGGGCCACTGCAAGTCAAACGACCCGGCCAGGCTTACGAGCTGCATGTAGGAGGTAAAGATCTTGGTGATGATCGAGAACAAGTCGGCCTTGGTGCGCGACTTGTTGATGGTCATTTGAATAAGCACGACGGCGTAGACGATGCACGCAACGATGCCACCAATCAGCACCAAGACCGTCAGAGTATAGTCGCTCGGGCACTCGACGCACTCGGTCTTGCCACTGCGCGTGTAGCCGTGGGCACATTGAAAACAGAGATGGCCGGTAAAGCCCCGCTTGCACGTCTCTGGCTGCACCTTGTAGATGGCCACGGCACCTACATCATCATCATCCTATAATTTTCAAGCAAACAAGTGAGATCACCTGTATTGGGCAGTGGTGTACTCCCCGTAACGAGTAGCTGGAGCTCACTTGACGACGAAGACACACTGGATGACGCCACCACCGTGTATGTGGCGCCTTGGACGTACAGCGTATCGTTGGGACCGTAGCCCGAGCTATTGGAAGGGAGGAGGAGACCCATGGTACCGTTGACGCCCGTGTCCACAACGACCGACGCCAAGTCGTTGCCAAGGAGAAGCCCGTTGCACGCAGACGCCAGGCACTCATTGAGCCGACACCCGTCGTAGCGACCTGATGTGCAGACGCCAGTCGAATTGGGAAACCGCCAGTAGCCATCCGTGGCCTGAATGCTGTCCCCGCCGCCGCAGAGCGCACCGACTGGACACGCGTGGCAGACGCTTTCGCTGGCGTTCCAGCTAAACTGCCCCATGGGACATTTGACGCACTGCGCAACGCCGTGTGGAAGCACTTCACCGCGAACGCACCCCCGAAGATGCACAGCAACGGTGTGTAGCGGCACAAGATCGCCACCAGTGACCGCCAATGTCACGTTGAGGCCTACCGCGCGGCTCGTCGTCGATTAGCGGAGCGAATCGATCGTATACCTGGTGTAAACTGGACCCCCGAGGTGGAGAAATTGCAAATGCCGCGCACCGCCATGGCCTTGCCCGCTCCGACAATAAACGCCGAGGTGGTCAGACTCACGAGCGTGACTTGTGTCTTGCTGTCCGTCGCAACCGTCTGCAGATACTGATCCTACGCACAATAACCGCGTCAGATATACATGCGTTGGACTTATTTCAGTACGTACAACAACATGCACAACAAACGCTCCGGCAAAATTTTGCCCACTCGCTTCCCCGTACACGATGCCATTCGACGCTGGGGGCGTGTACCGAGGCTGCAGAGCGTACGGTAATGACGCCACGTCAGGGCCATACACAGCACTGTTGTTGGCAAACGTCTGGGTGGTCAACCCCAGTGGCTCGACACCGGTCCAGTAGATGCCACCGCCGCCACCGGTTCTTGCATCGTTGTTGCTCCAACGCGAGTTGGAGAAGACGCAGGGTGCGTTTTCGAGGTAGAGGGCACCGCCGTAGCCGCTGCTGCTATTGACAAAGACGGACGCAGTGATGTGGATGCTCGGCGGTGTCGACGTAGTGCCCATGGAAGCATAGACCGCGCCACCGGTGGCGCCTCCGGCACGGTTCTCGAGAAAGGTGCAGTTGGTCATAAACGACGCGTTCGAGATCGTTGCGATGCTGATCGCGCCGCCTTGAGCAACGCCACCGGGCGTGAGAAAAACCGAGTTGTTTTGAAAGACGCTCGAGTGCAGCGTGAAGGTTGCAAGATCCGAGATGGCAATGGCCCCGCCGATGGCCGCCACATTTCCACGCAGCACCGAGTACAACACCGTGAGCGAATTGAACGAGATGACAAGTGCGCCTCCGAGACCCGATGCGGTGTTGCCATGCAGCACGGACGTATCCAGCGTGATGTCCGAGAGGTCGGCACTGAAGGCGCCGCCTGTGATGGCACGATTGTAGGCGAGATGCACGCGGAGCGTGCTGACGGTCGACGAGGCGACCGCGACGGCGCCACCGCCGGCCGCCGTGTTTCGGACGAGGTGCGAGTCTTGTAGTGTCAATATGCTTGAAAAGCCGTAGATCGCGCCACCATTGGCACCCGCCGTGTGGTGACTGACCGTCGACGCCTGAAGCACGAGGCTCGAGATGATGCAGTAGAAAGCGCCCCCGTTCTTGGCTGCGACAGCATTCGTGACGTTGGCGTTGGTTACGACGACGATGGAATCTTCGAGCGCCATCATGCCACCGCTACTGGACGTCGTGGCCTCCGTGTGTAGGTAGTCAACAGTCATGGTAACGAGCACGAGGTACATGGCGCCGCCCATCGTACTCGCCGTCGTGTTGGCAATCAAGACGTTGACAATGTCGCCGGCCTGGAAGGTGCAGTCGATGAGGTAGATAGCACCGCCTTTCGTCGCCGACGAGGCGGTGATATTGACATTGGTCAAATGAATCGTTGTGCTCTGCGACTGCAGCACGAGCCCGCCACCGTACTGGAATGCCGTGCTCTATCACAGCTCGTTACATTCGCGATAGAGAAGTCATGTGACGTCGTCATCGTACGTTGGTCATGGTGACGTTATCAATGACAACGGTGCTCGATGTGACGTAGATGCTGCCGCCGTGACGGTAGGCGACACACGATGCAAACTGCGAGTCGGAGATGGCGACGGCCGAATTGGAGTCGGCATAAATCGCACCGCCGTCCGTACCACTGACATCGGCGAGGAACGTTCCGTTCTCGACAACAATCATCGTGGCGGCTGTGAGTGCGATGGCGCCACCGCCTTGCTTGAGCGGCCGTAAGCAAACACGTCGTCGGATATCAAGACATGGTCGGACGACGAGACGAAGACACTGCCGCCGTACTGACCGGCGTTCGACTCGTAGAGGTTGCGCTCGAGAACGACGACGAATTCGGCGCCTTGGGCGAACGTCGCCGTCACCATGAGGGCACCCCCGTATTTGGTCGCCGCGTTCAATCGAAACACATTGCGTTGAAGTAGTGTATATGACTGCACCAAGAACACTACAGAGGGTTCGGAAAGGAGGTAAACACAGAATTGAACGACGCACCAGCACCACCAAACGACGCTTGATTCGCTCGAAACGTGCAATTGGAAATCACAAGCAGCGGCTGCAGCGTCGCATCGAAGCAGTTGAGCGCGTAGAGCGCACCACCAAGACCTCTGGTGGTTGTCGATGCAGTTAGGCTCACGGTGTTGCTTTCATAGACGCTCCTCGCGTCCGCAAACGCCGAGCTGAGAAGATAGACGCCGCCGCCAGCGACGACGGCAGCGTTGCCGGCAAACGTATTGAGGACGCTGAGCACGGTCGACGTCTCGGCGCGGAGACCACCGCCCTTGTCAGCGCCCGTGTTGTTGATAAACACGGTTCTTGAGACATTTAGTTGCGTATTGATGGCGCGAACGCCCGAGCCGGCGTTGGCCGTGACCTCTGAATTGTTGATTGTGACGTATGCACCGTCGAAGCCCATCGCGCCACCAAGGTTGCTACGGAAGATGCTGTTGACGATCGTGGCGACACTGGCTTGGTTGACAGTCAGCGCGGTTTCAGGCACGCTGCTGCCAACGTTGCGCGTAAAAGTACAGGCCGAGATGGTGACGGTTGATGGATTGAAGAGCGTTGCCGACGACGTTGCGTACGTTGAGACAAAGACGGCACCACTAAGGGTGGCATTGTTGGCATGAATCGTGCAGTTGTCGAGGATGGCGGTGGCCGAAAGCACAGCCACGGCAGCACCGGCGGTTGCAGCGTTGCTGTCAAAGGTACACCCGCGTAGGGTCGTGACACTGGGCGCAACGACCGCCACCGTGCCTTGCCCCGAGAATTGGTTGCCATAGAAGCGACAGTTTTCAATGAGTGCGTTCCCGCCAATGAACAAGGCCACGCCCCGCAGCGGCGACGCCGTCGTCTAGTCGCAATGAGTACCTCCGTGTGCGATCGTTTTAAATTGTACCGCGCAGCTCGTAAACGAGAGACCGCGGATCACGGACAGGCCTTTCGCGTGGGTGAGGAGCCAACCGCGGGAGCTTCCTTGGCACGCGACAAGGGTCCAGGCAGCGCCACTCAGTGACGTGACATAAATGCTCGTTGGAAACGTGAGGTCACAGTACCCGGCGCCTTCATACCGCCCGGGAAAGAGCGTGAGCATGTCGCCGTCGCTCAGAACGTTCTCAAACAAGTCGGCAAAGGAACTTGTGAACGGCGACTCGCGGGTACCGAGGCCGCTTGCGCCGTCGCCCGATGCGTAGCTACTGGGCGCGACGTAGTATTGCCGCGGCATCAGGTAGTTGATGCGGAACCGCCCGCGCCCGCCGAGTGCCGAAGCAAATCCAATCTGGGCACGGCTACCGGAAGCTTTGTACAAGCTGTTGATCATACCGGGCGTCACGCGAAGGGCAGGTGGGGACGCTTTTGTCGCTGGACTAGAGTAGTGCGCGGTGCTGTTGACAGTTGTGAGGCTCGTTGCTGTCCACGGTACGCTAGCCATGGGTGTCCACGCACTGCAATCGGTGGACCCAGGGTTCGACGCGTTGTAGGCGTCGACGACCCACGCGTTGTCAGCTGGCATGGCGACGCTGCTGTAGCACATGGTGTTCATCGATGTTGTAAGTGACGACTCGACCACTTGCCACGGATTGTTGACACTTTCATTGCTACTGTCGAGCTGGCACTGCGCGTTACCCAGTCCAAGCGCCTGAACTTGCCAAGGACCATAGGCGACCAGCGCATCCGTCTTGTTTGGACTCGCCGAGTGACTGCGAAACGTGTACGTGGCGTAAAACCCCGTCGACTGCAACGATGTCTGCTGCGGCGGCAGCGGACCGACCCGGTAGCTCAGAATCACGTTTGGTCCGACGGTGGTGCTGAAGGGTGGGTGGCGACCACAGAGGGCCACCGGCGGCCGTCCCGGCTCGATAAGACTCAGTGTCCCCTCGGCGCAGATCACGTGGAGGAGTGAGAAATGGATCGTGATGCGGTCGTTCGCGGGTGCTTGCAGGTTCCACTGACACTGCGTGTCGGGTAGCACCGCAGTCGTTTCGGTGGCTTGGCCGTCCGTGAGCACACCGCTCGAGACGATGATGCTCTGATTGCTATTGGAACATCGCGGAAACGGCACCGATGCAAACACAGGTGGCACGAGGCGCTGAACGCTGCTCGGTGGCCGCCATGTCCCGTTGACGCGCGCCAAGTCGGATGTCGCTGCCACGGTGGTCATGGACGCGTCCCGCATCTCAAACGAGACGGTCGCGGCCGAGCTGGAGACGCTATTGACCCAGAGGTTTGTGATGACGTAGGCGACGGCCTCGGCTTGTTGGCTGTAGCGCAACAAGAGACCAAGCACCATCGTGTCGGAGAGACCAAAGTTGTACGTTCGACTGCGCACCAGCGTCGCTTGTAAGAACGACGCGTTGGGCGCGACCCACGAGACCACCATGGACGTCGCATCAAATGCGTTTACGAGAAGATGGGTTTGCGCCGCGAGGTCGAGTGCGTGGGTGATGGCGGTCGCATTGAAGATCGTTGTCGGCGGTGTCGCGCACCCGAGACGCCGGAGCGACCACTGACGTGTGACCACCGAGCGCACTGCGTACTCGCCGACGGACGCAGAGAGGACTTCCATCGTGCTCATCGTTGCCGCCGTCGGCGACGTGACGGTGTTGACGACCGCGTCCGCGGGCTCAAATGCGGACAGCACACTGTTGCCGGCGTACGCCGCCGCAATTACCGCGTCTGGCAAGACGGTATCATAGAGCTGGACAGAGTAAATGGTGCCTTGCCACGTCTGGCTGGGACTGCCCTTGACGAGACGACCGCCAAGAACGAGGCGGCTCGCGTCGTTGTAGCCCGTGATGCCATAGACATTGCATTCGACCCAGTTGCCAGTGAGGAGGTATTGATCCCACTGCTGGTTCAAGCAGTTTTCATACGCAGCGCTGGTGTCGAGCGTGCTGTAACGGAGCCCGTTGACGTAGTAGGCGATGACACCGTGATGGAACGTGACGGCGAGGTGCATCGTGTCACCAGAGAAGGACGCAGGACTCACGGTAGCGGCGTGATTGGTGTCGTACGCACCGAGAATCCACTGCCCCATGCCCTTGGTGACACCAGAGATCTGAAGAAAGAGCGACCCGGCCTTGCCGTTTTCTTGCGAGAGGAGATATTGCGGACCACTCGAGAGCACGACCGTTGCATTGATGATGAGCGTAAACGTACTCGAGGCCTCGATCGAAGCCAATGCGCTCGTAAAGTCAACGCGCACGAGTCCGCTGAGAACGCTGTTGGGGGCAAGGGTCCATGCCCCGGTATACGAAAGGACCGGCGTTGCCAGTGCAGCATACGTAATGCCCGTGAGCAAGTCGGGCTTGGTCAGACGACTGGGCCACGCCGACGAGAGGAGCGTCGTGTTCAGACCGACGTCGGCGCCATCTCGACACACAAAGTATGGCTGAGTCCGGCGGGAAAAATGAAACACCGACGGATACGGTGCCCACACCACTGTCGTCCAGTCCACGTCGTAGGTCACAAACTCGGCCGTGACGTTGGCCGTGTCCGCGTCATAGTCGTTAAAGTAGAGCTGCACGACGGACGCGTCAGTCGTATACGCATCATCGGACGTCGTCCACCAGTAGGCTTCGATGAGCGACTTGGCGAGCGCGGCAGTGAGCCCGACGCTTGTGGCGTCGGCGCAGGCAAGCCCACGGCGGTAGGTCACCACGTCGTAGAGAGGCGAGTTGGCTCGCGCGAGCGCCACCGTCGCCGACGTTGCTGTCGCCGACGACTGAAAGATCGGCACCGAGTACGCGACGCCGTACGTGCGCTGGAAAAAGAGTGCTCGGTCGATCGCGGTCGCTGCCGAGAGCCCGACGGTGGTACTAGCGTCGTGGTAGACATGGTCGGTGGCGGCGCCGTCATAAATGGCCACTGTATCGGTCGCTTCGAGGTCCGAGAGGTCCTCGAACTGGAGGACGATGAGCGCATTTGACTTTTGCAGTTGCCAGAGACATTGCACCGGCGGGTACCCGATCGGTGGTTCCGGTGGTACAAAGTTGGTGCGCAGCATGTACGCATCGGGTGGAAATTCAAGGGTGCCTTGCCGACCGGGCAGTAGCGCCTCGGCGTCGCAGGGCGACAACTTCTCGGTGCAGCTTGGGCCTGCGTACCCCGGGTCACATTGGCAGGTGCCAAATGCACACGATCCATGCTGACACGCCGCCGGGCACCCGTGGCCAGTGACAACAACACGAAAGATCGACGAAGCGTTCGTCGACGACGGCACATGGTACAAGAGTGACAAGTGGCGCGTCGACGCCCGAAATGTCGTAAAGACAATCGAAGAGCGAGGCTCGGGGGCGTCACGTAGACACCACCTCGTAAGGCGCCGTGGATGCCGTAGCGGCTACTGTCCAGCACCTACACCAATGTACGTACATCGATGCCAAAGCCGTAATGTGAACGTACTCTGGTCGCGTTGTACACGCTCCACTCGTAGCAAAGCAGAAGTGAGGCGTCTGCCGTATCGCAGGCTGCCGTTTGCATCTGAGCGATCTCGACGGCCGACTTGGCCTCGTCGTAGAGGCGCAGTTGCTGGAGTTGCCCAGCAAACGAAATATGTGTGGCATCAGGCAGCGTGGCATGTCCGCCGACAAACAATTGTGCGGGCACCGCGAGTAGCGACGTGTTGACACTGCCGGCTCGAGTCACACTTTGGCGCTGGCCGTCGATATAAGCAAAGACATCGTTTTCCGTCGCTTGGTAGACAAGCGCCACGTGAAGCCACGTATCATGAAGGACACTTGTCGTGAGGGTGAACTCGGCGTCGCTGACGACGAGCGAGAGATACCCCGTGTCGGGCGCGAGCTGCACCGTCACATACGCATGCATTCCCTTGTCGGTGCCGAGGATCTTCATTTTCTTAGGCTTGACATTGACGCAGTTGGCGGCGACGGAGCAGTCGGCTTTGGTCGACGACGGGACGTTCAACCAGAAAACGACGGTTGTCGGCAGGGTAGGAAGTGGATCGGTCGACGCAATGTAGTCGCTTCCGCCGTTCATTTTGATGGCATAGTTGTGAACCGAGTAGGATGACGCCGTGATGTTGGCGATAAGGCTTGTCGGTGACGTGGTGTTGCCGTCGTAGAGCTCGATACGGTCGCCGACGGACGTCAGATTGAGGTCGAGAAACCGTAACCAGAGCGATGAAATCGACACTGCGCTGGACGTGAATGTGTAGAGGCACGAGGTGCGCGCCGGTGCAAGCCGACTGTAGGTCAAGTTGTACGTTGGAAATACGACCGCATTGGTTGTCGGGTCCAGAGGCAGTGTCGTCGCAGCGTCTTGACAGAAATGACGAGTGCCCACTTCAGGGAACGCCAGCGCTGTACTGTACTCAAGCACGAACCCGTCAAAGGACGTCCCTGATTTATCGCCGGCGCCCGTGTACTGAATGAGAACGGTTGTCGTGTTGAGCACGAGGGATGGCAAGTCACTAGACATGAGAGAGATTCAGCTCATTAACAGAGGTTGTAGAAACAACATACATGGCTGCCAATCGGCTCGGTAGACTTGTCTCGGTGAGTCTGCCCTGAACGGAAAACTACTGCAGGCATCAGCACAAAACGTTCGATGACGAAAGACGATGTACGTGATCGTTCGGCGAGAGTTGCAGCTGCTGGAGCGTGAGGACGAGAAGCGTGTACGGTGCCAAGACGGGCGCAATCGCCGGTGCAATCGTAAACCGGCAGAGACGGACGCCGGCCGTGATGGATGTTGTGTAGCCGTCTCGAATCGTGCCCGACGCGTTCGTTAACGTGACATTGCCCTTGAAGAGACCACACGAATCGGCGCTGCTCAAGCACACCTCGGGGGCTCCGTTGACGAGGCACCACGGCTGCGCCGTCGCAGGATCTGCCGTCGACGCCCCCGTCGTCTGGCATGAGAAGGCTGAGATGGTGTCTTGGACGGCACTGGCGTCGGGACCCGTGACAACGCACTGCGCTGGAGCCGAGACCCCTGGCGCCGACGCGGAGACCACGTTGCAGCCGTGGCGGTCGATGGTGAAGAGACGCGTAGCTTGGTACCGCTTGATGGTGAAGAGACGCGTGGCTTGGTACCGCTTGGCGTCCGTGCCGTGTGCAAACGCCGGTAGGGACGCTGTCGGTGGGCCGTTGGGAGGACCGTTGGGAGGACCGAGCCCCGACGCGCTACTACCCGAAGCCGAGGAGGACGAGCTGCCGGATGACGACGATACGGAGGAAGCAGCCGCAAGGCGACGCCGCCAATGACCCGCCACCGGCTCGTAGATGTAGCAATTGTTGCCACACGGGACCGTGGTGGCGTCGGCAACGACCTTGGTTTTGATGTACGTGTACGTGATGAGCATTGTGGCTAGCCCGGTCGCCGAGTCGATGGATTTCACAGCCGACGAGACGAGCCACGGCGGCATGTCGGTGCACTGACACGGTTGTACAGCCATCTCCAGCTGCGAATTTGCATAAGTCTGCGTGTTTTGTTGACACATGGTGTCGCCATAGCCATTGGATGCCATGTAGTTCCGAAAGCGGCCGCAGTTGCGCTGCGTATAAGTCATTGGAAAGCTGCATTGGCTGCCGTTGATCGTCGAAGTAGGCACCGACACGATCGGTGCGAGCGCGGCAAGACTCGCTACGACATTTGATTAGAACGTTGTCCGCATCAAGAGCAGCTACCAGCGCGAGTGATGCAGATCTGTATCGCGTGTGGCAGGGAGCTCTCAAACGACGTCACGACACCCGACGTTGTTACGGTGACGCACGTGACATCAAAGAAGCAGACGACCACGGACGAGACGCCGGTGCGTTGGAACCGCACACTGAGCGCTTTGGTGGCGCTAAGGGCATCGGCGACAATAACACTCGTGGTAACGACGCTGTCGACCGCAACGTCGACAGTGGAGGCGTCTGCGGGCGATACCTCGAGCGTGGGTGCCCCCGCCTGGTTGTAAAACCCCAGATGCCACGTACTAACGTTGACGATTCCGCTGACGTAAAGCACATTGTTGACAGCAAACGTGTCGGCTGTGAGGTCCACGGGGGACGCCAAGCACGGGTTGACTTCTACGCCAGTGAATGGGTGGGATCGTCTTGTATGGTGGAGAAATGTACCAGATGTGCTGACGTTGAAGCCAAAGCTATGGGTGGTGGACGGAGATAACGTATTGCTGCCGGCTGCCGCAAGGCTCAGATCATTTCGATGCAATGAGAGATCCCGGGCGCTGCCATCGAGGAATCTAAGACGCAAAGATGATGCCGCCACTGCAAGCGATGCCCGACGCACCTATATTCGGCAACGAGATGGCTCGTCGTCATTCTGGACGACTGAAACAGCGTTGATGGTCCCTGCACCGTGTTCCAAAGCCGTAGGAACGCCAGCGCGCCGGTAAAACCACCGATGTCGAGCGGCAGCGCTGGCACAAGCGAAACACCGATGGTTGATACAGTGCTCGACGCCACGACGGCGGTAGTATTGGTCGTGGCATTGTAGGCGTAGAGTGTTGTGGCGCCCGAGGCCGCATTCCATGTCCATGCGACCGAGTACCAGCGTCCGTCATCAACACTGATTGTTGTTGGCCACACCGAGGTGCCAATCGTAAACGTGAGTGCCGACGACTGCGCCACCGAGAGCCCCGGGTAGCTCAAGAGAACGTCGGTCGCGTTGCGGACCGCGATCCGAAGTGTCATTTCAATCGTAAGGCCGGACGTCGAGTTCAGGCCGAGGAGGGCATTGCACTTTGCGACCAGCGACGCATCCGAAAACAAAAGGGCAAAGTCGTCGGGCGCTCGGCATCTCTGGTTCGCTCCACAAACTGTCGACGCTGGACAGTCGCTGGACGAGAGGCACTGCTTGGTCATGATGACGTCACTCGAGGCACTGCCAACGCGCACACAAGCACCGTACGCATCGCACTGCGAGCCTTGACCGCACTGATGTACAAGCGGACACGACTGGACGATCGAACCGTCCGTGACGTTCCAGTTGAGATCGGGTTGTGGCGTTTGTTCTAGTCCACCAAGTTAGCTCTGGAAAAATGGGCATGAGCGACCCACGGGGAACGACAGGAGGGAGGGGGCAGTAGACGCAGTCGCCGTTGTAGACACGGCCTTGGAGCGGGTCGAACGCTGAGCTATCGAGACTCGGGCTGTGCTTGCACGTCATGACTGCCGACGGAAGCGCGCCGCAGTCAGGGTCTACCACTGTATAACCTTTGAATTTTGAACGACAAACAATACCATAGAGGCCGCAGCCGCAATCGCATCCGTCACTTGCATTATAGTGTGTCCCTGCACAGAGCCACCCTTGGGGGATGTCGCACGCCGGCCCCGACCAGCCGTGAACGCAGACGCACTCGCCGTTGAGGCAACGACCGTGACTACCCGAGCACGCATTTGGGCAGTAGGCTACGAGCGATATGGCGTCAGGAGGATCATACCGGTGGTGCTACCGTACCAGCTTGCCACGATACGGCGAACCCGGCGGCGGCGGGGCCATCGAGGGAGGCATAAGTGAGGAACAGGACGCCTTGACCGTTTTGGAGAAAGTACCCGGAGGGTGGCGGGTGCCCACCCGAGAACCTGGCCACGACCGTCGCGTTGGCCGATGCGCCGTCGTAACTACCGTTAGCCGCAGCATAATGCGTTACCATCCAAGATAACTCCGAGTGCATCCACGTACATGGTGACTACCGGAGCTGAAACGCGCTAAACGATATCCAAATCGAGTCAAAGAGCACGCGAGTGCCCGATGTTGGGTCAAATCGCGTCGGCTGCAGCAGCCACGAGCAGCTCATGTTGGGTTGGTTTTGTCCGAGCATGTTGTCACGAAAGGTCTGCGCCGTCGTTGCGTTCGCACCGTCGGCGACCGAAAGCTGCGGCGAGAGGACGCTAGGACCGCTGCAAAACGTACTCGCTACTCGAAACGTTGGCCCTTATGTCACCGAGACGCAAGTAGGTACCGAACTCGTAGGTGGCGGCCATGCCGTAGACGGCCGAGTCGTCGGGGACGACGCCGTCCGGCTTAATGAAGGACCGGTAGATGACGTAGATGTCCCGTGCCGTCGACTGCATGGTCGAGACGGCACCGCCGACGGTGTCGTCGTAGCTGCCGGTAAAATAATACCATGACGCACTGCGTGACGAGTCGGTGAGCAGCGAACCGTACGTGAGGTCGCACCGCGTCGGGTCAAACGAGCCCTGTTGGTTCGCGACGCACGTGTCCTTGGAGAGCGGACTCGTTGCATACTCAAAGGTCCCGACGGCATCGCCCCCCGAGAGATCCAACGGGCGGGTGTAGAGCGACCAGCCGAGGGGTCGCGGCGCGTTGCGGCCGAGGTTGACAAGCACGACGTCATTGTTGCCGCCGTAATCCGCTTCGAGGTTTAGGAGTGTGAACGTGAGCGCGATGATTGTGTTGGGCTTGGCAGTCGTGATCTGCCAGTGGCAGTCGACGCCAGGGTTGTAGCTGCCGACCTGCGGCGACCGGTCGCGGAGGGCACCTGGGGCTTTAGTCAGTTGCGCCGATGGCGTGCATTGCTGACTTACGCCCGTCACGGCCCAGAGAGCGACCAGAAGCCACCGCATCGGATCCCGCGTGCTGTGAAAACGCCACTGTAACGGCGCGCGGTCATTTGTCGAAGGTTACGAAGCGCCACCCGATCCACACGGAGGCGCTGATGCCAAGGCGTGGGGCGATGCGTCAGTGAAGACCCTGCAGACGCTCGTACTTGATGCCATTGTCGGGGTAGACGGGTTGGCACACGTCGAGAGAGAGGCGATGCTGGCGTAGATTGGCGTATTCGAATGCTTCCGTGGCTCGAATTGGTCCGCTCGTGGCACGCAATCCATAATTGACATGGCAAAGTTTCGCAATTGCAATTATTGTTTACATGTCGACTATATCTTAGTGCCGGTGGTGGCTGTACTGATACCGAGCCAAAACACACGCGATGCCGTCATGGCCCCGTGCGCTTGCGACCGCCGAGGCCGTGAACCCTTCGCTTCGGTGCCGAAGAAGAAACTGCACGACGTGCAAATGGCCTGCGGCGGCAGCACGGTCGATGGCGGCCGTCGTGCAGCCCTCTCCACGATGCGCATGTAGAAAGCGTACGACGTCGAGGTGCCCGTTGCCGGCGGCATCGTCCATCGCGGCGACTGAAGCGCCTTCCGAGCGAAACTGATGCAAGAAGCGGACGACACTACCGTGGCCGTGGCCAGCCGCCCGGTCAAGCGCTCGGAACGAGCCTATGAGTGTTGGGTGCTCGTTGTGGAAGTACTGCAGTAGCTCGAGCTGACCGGCGGCCGCTGCAACATCGATGGCGAGGCCCGAGAGCCAAAAGGGCCGCCAGTCGATGATGGCGCGGATCAAGTGCGTTGACTTTGCAGTGGCAATCGCGTGGTGCAGCAGACAGCGCCGCTCGGAGCGCGCCACGTCATAGACGATCCGTGGTAGCGTACGGAACACGGTGGCGTGCCAGGCAGCAACGTAGTCGTGCAGACTCGCGAGAAGGCCTGCTTGGTACGACACGATCTGCGCGAAAAGCTCGGGCACCGTCAAGACGGCGACTGCTGTCATGCGGTGAAATCCACAAATGAACCGAGCATCGAACGCGACGACGATGGTGCGTCGAAAGACGGATGGCAGCTGCTTTTGGACACATTTTGGATTTTTTCTTTATAGAAACAAGACAAGATACAGAGTTCCGACAACGAAGCGAGAAGGACGGCAACGTTCACGCGATTGCGAGCGCGAGAAGACCGTCGAGGTTGATGGGAATGGTTGGGTCGGCCCAGACAACGTCGCGGCGCAAGGGCACGTGGTACGCTGGCACGTTTCCGATCTCGTGCATGGGCTGGTCCATCACGTCGTCCATGGCGACGCCGCCCACCACCGCAGGGTTGATCGTGAGGAGGACTCGGTCTCGGGCCAACGCGCATTCGTAGCATTGGTCGAGTCGCAGAATAGCATCGGCATGTCCATGGCACTTCTGCTTCGTGTTGCTGGTACGAGGTGAATGTGAGAGTGCACTAGGCGTTCGAACACCTCGCTCGTGCAACGACGACAGTGGCCAGTGCAGCATATCTATATACCGAGCACTTATCAAGCACGCTGCTGCTACTACACTCTACTGTTTGTTTGGAGGAGGTGCAAACGGCAAGAAGTATCGACTTGATACATCGCCATGCTAGTGGCATCCACAGCCCCACACATGTGTCGTGCGAAATGGCACTGTGCTTCTTGCGCAGCGAACTCGCCGACGGCGACGTCGTCCATGTCCTCTTGGCACAAGGCGCTTCAATCGACTGATACATTGATAAAATGATATTTGTACGTGCGCAGAGCTGCAGTATCCAACGCTATACGATGTGAGTGAAGTACCATACACCATACACCATGGCTGTGCGAGTGATGTTCCTATCAAGTGGTGGCGACCCGGTTTCTGGCTTTAGATTCAATCTTTCAACTTTTCAGTATTTCGTTTCCAACACGCGAGTGGACGGAAAGAGTATAGATAGGGTGTACTTAATCGATCGGGACTATGTGTATCGGCGTCGCTTTGGTGTCGAGACAGCGCTCTCCGTCTCGTCGTCGTTGTCGTCGTTGTCGTCGTTGTCGTCGTCCACCGACTTGTCTTCGGGGATCGCATCGTGCAGCGTCGGCAGCGTTAGCCGAACGCCCTTGGTGTTGACAGCGCGGTTGATAAGCGCAAGATCCTACATCGTATAAACGTGCGTCAACCTCCATGTGATCCGCATCTCCGTCAAGTACCCGCGCCGGGCTTTCTCCAAACGCGTACAGTGCGTGGGTGCGCGGTGTGAGCGCGGTGCGCGGCTGGCGGATCTGCCGCAACGGCGATATGTACACGTTGCTACTGAGCACGCGCTTGGGCGACGACCGCTGCGACGGCCGGGGCAGCGACTGGATCTCCGCGAGCGACTGGATCTCGACTTTCGGGGCGGGCGGCCGCTGGACGCTGCCGTGCGTGTGGAGCAATCGCTCGACGGCGGCGGTCGCGGCCTCGGCAATCACCTCATTGTCCGAGACGCCGACGTGCGGGAGGTGCTGGACAAAGGGCGTCACGGCGTTGGCCGCCGCTTCTTGGCGATCGTGCAGCTGAAACTGCAGCAGGAAGGCCTTGAGGGTCGGGATGTAGCACCGGTTGTAAAACTTGATCACGTCGCCTTTGATTGACGGCTTGTCGAGCGGAATCTCGCGGACGATCGCGGCTTTCGCCGACGCGGGATACGTGCGCTTGTACGCCTCGAGCACGCGCTTGAACGTGACCTCGGGCACGACGTGGTTGACCTTGCACACGCCGTAGAAGCTGCAGAGAATCACATGGTCCACATGGCGATCGCGGAGGAGCTCGGCGTGGTTCGAGATGCACTCCTTCACGCTCGTCCAGATCTGATTCAAGTACGTCGCGTCGAGCTGAAGGTGCTGGCCGAGCGCGTAGATGCGGTTGGCCGCGAGCGCGAGCACTTTACGAAAGAAAAGCTGCAGCATGCAGAAGCGCGCCGGCGTCGCCTCGTCGGCCGCCAGCAGCGCGTACAAGCCCGAGCGACTCTGCCACACGAGCGAGTCGAGCACGGTTTGCTCGAGGTCCCGCATGTGCCGCTTGAGTTCGCTCGGCAGCGACGGCGCGCGCTTCACAAAGCTCTCGAGGATTTTGCCAAAGTCAAAGGCCGAGACGTCGCACGTTCCGAGAATGTGCGGGAACGCCAGCGTCACGAGACTGTGCGCCTTGAGCACGACCTCCATGCTGCACGCAAACAGCGCCTTGTGGAACGCTGCGTTCGTGAGCAGCGACGAAAAGTCACTCGTGTGCAGTCGGTCGGCTTCGGCGTCGAGAAGCGACTCGAGCACGCGGTAGTAGAGCCCGACGCCCATCGTCTTGGTCTTGCCGAGACTGCCTTGGACCTGCGACGGCGGCGGCTGGGTGGCGCCCAACGGCAAGAGGAGCCGCGTCGACGGACGGTGCAGCGTGCCGACCTTGGTCGAGAGCTCGTGAATGAGCGAGAGAACCATGTCTTTGGCGGTTGGCGCTTGCACGCACCCGCCAAAGTACGTCAGTAGCTTCTCGGACGGGTGCGCAGGCAGCGACGATAGCGTGTGGCGGATCCAGTTGTTGGTCTCGACAGCGGCCGTCACGGGTGTCTGCAGCACGCTTGGCGACCGCTTCGGGAGAAGCACGCTTGGGGACTTGGTTGCTGACCCGGGCGCCTTGGTCGGTGGCACTTGGCCTTGCCACTGCCACGCTTGTTCAAACGAAGACGAGTTCTGACTTGATGGCGCAAATGGCGCGGGTGTGGGCTCGCGTTGGGGCGGTGGCGGCCCGATGAGCGACTGCTTGAGCTCGTGATCGGCAAAGATCGACTCGTCGAGGTCGTAGACGCGCAGGACATACGTCGTGTGGTAGTGGGTCTCGAGCTTGGCGACGTTGCCGGGAAGGAGCGCATCGCTAAAGATGGAGCTGTACGTCTCGGTGGCTGTCGACGCGAGGACGCCGGCGTCTTCGAGGCCTTGCATCTCCTTCTCGAGCTTGGCCATGGCGCGCTCGACGTCAATGCGGTTGACATGTGGCTTGGCACACAGCTTTTCAAGTATCGTGTGTGGCGACTGCGCGTGGGGACTGCCCAGCGAGCTCAGGGCGGCCGCAATCTCGGCCTCGACGCTGCGCACATGGACCTTGGAGATGACGAGCTGCAAGACAGCGAGAAGAAGGTAGTAGAGGTCGCCGAGGCCCGCGTTCGACATGTGGAGACGGGATCGAGCAATGAGGAAGAGCAGCCACCCGGCCTTGAAGAGGTGCGCTTTCCGTGGGCTACCTGGCTCCGTCGAGACGAAGGCCGACCAGAGCTGGTCGTACTTTGTAAACAAGATGGACGCGATCGTCAAGCGCTCCTTGAGCACGTTTGCGCGCGTGAGCAGATCCGGGCTTAGGTCCAGGATGAGCATGTTAAAGAGGCCCGTAAAGCTCGTCAGGAACGCGCTGAGGCCGACGTGGCACGCGCTGAGGAGATCGCGCAGCGTGATACTTGCGGGCGCGAGGTCAGGCCCGCCGTTCTCACGGTCGCGCTCGCGCTCCAGCTCGATGCCACTCAAGATGGCGAAGAGCGAGGCCATGACCCACATGTCGTTGGGGGCCGGCGCCTTGGCGTCATCGTCCGGCGCTTGCTGCGTCTGGTGCATGTGCTCTTGCTGGGCGACGGAGGCCATGATGACATCGAGAAGCTTCTGTGCGCGGGCGAGATGGGCGGCGTCCATGCGCGGGAGCACGGGCCCGAGGCCGTCAAGGTCCTGGAGGCGCATGGTGGCTGACCGCAGAATACGCAGTTGAACGAAGAACCGTCCGCGGTGATTGGCTGAAATAGAAGAAAATGCGAGGGAAATCCGCCGACTAATCGCACGCAACTTTACTCCCGCCCACGCGCCAGCCCATCAGCGAGATGCGAGACGCGATGGGCACTCGGCACTAGTAATAAGTACTGCGATATCGCACCCTCTTCTTCGTCTCACCCTAATGCTAGGCCCACGTGAAGCGTACTTGTGGTCCACAGTGGCACAGTGCACTTGCTCTACTATCGCTTTCTAGTCAATGTTGTCCATTCCAACATTCCAAGAACGCGCGATCAAGCGCCTGCAATCCGCACGCTGGTGTAGCATCGGCACAACACCGCCCACGGAGGCTGCATGCATGCAATGACGACCTTGAGCACCCGTAGATGGGTTCAGATCTGGAAGCGCCGAGCAAAGGTGCCGTTCCGCTTCGGGTAGGCCGCCAGAGTTCTCTGCACAGACAGAGCGGTTCATATGAATGAATGCACAGCACTCTGTGTATCGCAATGCAAAGCGCGCATGGCGCTGTCTGCAGCCATGGGTCTTTGGTCGATGCACGTGGCGCCAAAGTTGCGTGCGATTAGCCTGCTCGGCAGCGGTATCCGGCATCATCCGGAAAAGATCCAACCAGCGCGATTGGCGGAATCGGAATTGAAATTTCAAACGCGTCGTCTCTTGCGTTTTGTATCCCATACAAACATCAAGATGCAAAACCTAGGCGGCAGGGGCAGAATCCAAGTCGGGCATGGCCGAGAACGTCCAAGTCTTTTGCCGCGTCCGGCCGCCCAACTCGCGCGAGATGATGGGCGGCGCGGCCCGGCGCTGCGTGAGCGCCGACGCCGTCGAGGGCCAGAGCCTCGTGCTGGCCTCGTGTACGGCCAAGAAGGAGGCGCCCCGCAACTTCTACTTTGACCGCGTCTTTGGCGAGCGCAGCACGCAGGAGCAGGTCTTTGACGTCATTGGCCGCCCGATCACGACCGCCTGCCTCGAAGGCTACAATGGCACGATCTTCGCCTATGGCCAAACGGGCAGCGGCAAGACGTTTACGATGCTGGGCGAAGAAGACCAGCGCAGCGGGCGGCCGAACGTCAACAAGGGCCTCGTGCCACGCGTGCTCGAGTACCTCTTTGAGAAGCGCGACGTGCGCGACGCGAGCTCCGAGTTTGAGGCCACGTCCACGATCGAGTACAAGTACATTTGCTCGTTTCTCGAGATCTACAACGAGCGCGTCTTCGACTTGCTCGACGGCTCGACGTCCGAGGCCGGCCTGAATTTGCGCGAGAACCACGTCAAAGGTGTCTTTGTCGAAGGCCTCAAAGAGGCGATCGTCGAGAACGCGCAGCAGGCGACCGAGCTCATGACGATCGGGACGCAGAACCGCCACGTCGGCCACACGAGCATGAACCGCGAGAGCTCGCGCAGCCACAGCGTCTTCATCTTACAGATCCACTCGAAGGAAACAACCGCGTCCGGCCTCATCAAGAAGCGTCAAGCCCGCTTCAACCTCGTCGACTTGGCCGGCTCGGAGCGCCAGAAGAGCACGGAGGCTGCGGGCGACCGGCTCAAAGAGGCAGGCAACATCAACAAGTCGCTCTCCGCGCTCGGCAACGTCATCATGGCGCTCTCCGAGCAAGCCGTTGGCAAGACCCGACATGGTACCGTTTTTCCACTGTTGTTTCGTGTTTTTGTGGGTTTTCCACAGTTGTATCGTGCTTCCTTTTCGCGTTTTTTCGCGTTTTTTCGTGTTTTTTTTCCAATACTTGTACCATTATACCCTTATCCATTGCATAGTGCACTACCGTGACTCGAAGCTGACGTACCTCCTCAAAGACTCGCTCGGCGGCAACTCCAAAACGTTCATGATCGCCGCCATCAGTCCGGCCGAGGACTGCATGAGTGAGACGCACTCGACGTTGAAGTTTGCGCAGCGTGCCAAGATGATCAAGAACAACGCGTTCATCAACGAAGACACAAGTGGCAACATCTTTCTACTCCAAGAAGAGATCAAGCGTCTCCGGCTCCAGCTGCAGCAAGCCGGCGACCATGGCTCCAACAACACGCACCACGAGCACGGAGCCTCGTCGTCGTCGTCGCTACCACCGCTCTACAATCCGTTCTCGGAGCTCAACGACAACCCACTGCCATCGGACTGCGACCCGGCCGTCGACGCCCGCTTCCGGGAGCTCGAAAACACGCTCTCCAACATTGTCGACGAACACTCAAGTCAGAAGCGGTCGCTGGAAGTGCTTCAATTGCGCGAGTCGCACTACCGCGAGCTCTGCGCGCAGCTTAAACGCAAGAGCCTGCATCTGCGCTTCCTTCTCAAACTCAAGGCGGACAAGGAGACGAACCTCGAGCACATTGAGCGCATTCAGCAAGAGCTCGAGTACAACCCGAGTGTCGACGCGATCGAGTGGCGCCTCAAGTACGACGAGATCGAGCGGCTCTACATGGACCTCCAGGAAGAGGCGGCATCGCCGTCGCAGAGCGCCGACGACGTCACGCGGCTCCAACACATGCATTTCGAAGTCGCCAAGCAGCTCTCGCTCGTCATCAAGGACAAGCACGCGCTCCAAGCCCGCATCGGTGGCAGCGCCATCGTTCTCGACGAGCAAATGGACGCCGATCGTCCGAGTCTCGAGTGGGAGGCCAAGGTGGCCCAGGCGCAGGCACTGCAGAGCCTCGCCGAAGACGAGCTTGCAAAGAACACGCTCGAGACGCTCATGCTCCGCGAGAAGGTGCGCAGCCACGAGATGAAGCTCGCCCTCCAGCACGACTTGCTCTCGGACTTCGAGCACCAAATCCGCGTCCTCCAAGAAGTCCACATGGCCGAACGCACGAGCCGGGAGGCGGCGGCGTCGGCGCAACAACGCGCGCACGACGACGCGATCCACACCCTCCAGCAGCAAACTTTGGCGTGCGAGTACGCGATGGCGACGATGCGCCAGCAAATGAGCGGCGCCGAGGCGCAAGCGGCGCAATGGGCCGAGCGGGAGGCCCACTGGGCGGCCCAAATCGCGACCGCCGAAGGCAACATTCGTGACCTCACGGCGCAGGTCCGAACGTTCTCGGAAGAGTCGCTCGACATGCACGAGAAGGTGCAAGCGGCGTTTGCGCGCGAGACTACGCTGCAGGCGACCGTGGCGTCCTTGGAAGCGTCGCTGCAAGCACACGCGGCCGCGAGCGATAATGCGACGGCCTCGTTTGAGACCCAAGTGCTGGAACTCACGGCGCGCATTGAGGAGCTGCTGCGGATCAAGACGGACCTCGAGGCGACCGCGACCGCGAGTATCGAGGCGTTGGAAGCAAAGGAAGACGCGTACCAAGCGACGCTCGGCACGGTCGAGCAGCTCACGTTTGAATTGACCGAGACCAAGGCCGTCCACGACACCCACGTGGCCGCGAGTGCGGATGCGCTGGCCGCCGAGCTCACGCGCCGCGAAACTGAAGTCGCGGCCATGACATCGGCTATCAACGATCTCCACACCAAGCTCGCCTCGGCCAACGACGGGCTTGCGGATCTCTCGGCCCAAGTGGCCGCGCTCGAAGCTGCCAAGGCCGACGTCGAGGCAGCCCTAAAAGAGTGGCAGCAGCAAGCGGCCGACGCCGACACCACCGTCGCCACGCTACGCGACGAGCTCGAGGCCAAGGACGACACGCTGCAGGCGACCATCGGGGACGTCGAGCGGCTCACGCACGAGCTCGCGCAAGCAACCATCGCCCACGACGCGGTCGAAGCGAACCTTGTCGCGGAGCAAACCGACAAGGCGGCGCAAGTGACAATGCTGCAGGCGATGCTGGACGCAAAAGTCAGCGAAGGAATGCACTGCAAGGCGACAAGCTGGCACTGGAGGCGGCCTTGGCCGAGCTCTCGGCCGCACGCGCCTCGGACGCGGCCGCGTTTGAGGCCAAGCTCACGGAAACCCGCGAGGCCAGTGACGTGCAAGAAGACAAGCTCCAAGCGGCGCTCGGCACGGTTGAGCGCCTCCAGTACGAAGCGTCGGAAGCCGCCAAGCTCTACGCGGCGCTCGAGGCTTCGTACAACGCTATGACGACGGAGAAGACGACCCTCGAGACGTCTCTGGCGGCGCTGCAGACGCAGGTGCGTGACCTGGAGACGTCCAAGGCGTCGCTGGAAACGGCGTTGGCGACGACGACGACGACAGCCGCCGCGGACCGCGCGACGTTGGAGGCGCAGCTAGAGACGGCCGCAACCGAGCAGGCGGCGCTGGAGAAAGAGCACCGGGGTGCCATGGCGGCGCTTGAGGCATCGCTCGAGGGCGCTCGCAGTGACCTTGACGCCAAGGAAGATGCGCTGCAAGAGGTCCTTGGCAACGTCGAACGGCTCGAGTTTGAGCTCGAAACGATGAGCGAGGCGCGGGCGGCGGTCGAGAAGGACCTCGCGACGGCACAGGCGACGCTGGCAGCGACAGTCTCCGCCATGGCGGCGAAAGAAGCGGACCTCGCGGCCGTGACAAGTGCGCTGGAAGACGCGCAAGGCGAAACCATTGTTGTCAACGACCTCCTGCAGCAGTCGCACGACGAGAAGAGCGCGCTCAAGACGCAGTGGAGTGCGCGGGAGGAGGCGCTGGTGGCCGACGTCACGGCGCTCACGGCCAAGGTGGCGGACGCCACCACATACAATGAGGTGTTGCGGTCGACGCTGCAGCTCGACAAGGACGAGTTCACGGCCCAGATCGAGGCGCTCGAGGAGTCGTTGTCGGCCGCGGAGGCCAAGGTGCCGCCGCTTTTGGCCGAGGTCGCGGCGCTCAAGAAGGAGGCCGAGGCGAGCTCGGCGAGCGGCCTTGCGGCGCTTAAGGACAAGCTGCGCGAGGACACAGCCAAGCTCGCCGCCGACCGCAAGCACTGGAAGTACAAGAACGAGTCGCTCATGCTCAAGGCGATCGAGAACGAGTATGCGATGAACCAAGCCAAGCGCGAGAACGAGCGCCTGCTGGAGGACATGGCCGAGCTCCACGCGCGCCTCGACGCACTCAACGACGAGAAAGACAAGCTCGTGGGCCACCACAATGCGAAGCAGAAGATCCAGCACCACGCCAAGATGAAGGAGGACGTCAACCGCCTCCAGGCCGAACTCCGCGCGGCGACCGACGAGAACTTCAAGCTCAAGAAGCGCATTGAAAAGCTCGAGGTGCTCGTCGCACCGGATACGGACATGGCCGCCGCGCTCGGGAGTCCGCTCAAGCGACAAAAGTCCCTCAACATGATGCCCGCCGAGTCGCCGATGCGTGGGAAGCGGCCGCGTCCCTAGTCCTCGCATGTCGTCGTCGAATCGTTGCTTTCCCTCACCTCTTAATATCTATCTCTACTCCGTTGCTAGCATCCATCGACGGTCCAAGTACATTCCGGGCGAGCTGGAGCCTTGCTTCTTGGTGCACGTCGGGACTCACATCATGCGATCCAACCCTACCCTTCATGCAGGATGGTAGTGTACAACATCCAAGCCCGCGCTGTCGTCGGCGTCGACACGGCAGCCGCTTTGCGGCATGTATCAATGTATCAACCAACAGACAGAGAGAACGCGACAGCTTCAAACAACCTACTCGACGGCAGCGACGATAGTCTCCGACGTCGTTAGCAGCTCCTGTAGCCACGACGCGACGGCGCTGGCGTCGATGCGGTGCGTCGGGTCGGACGCGGTGCAGGACGCAAGCAACGCCGGCGCGTCAAGCCCGAGACGGTTCATGAGGCGGCCGAGTTGGTAGACGTCGGACGCGGGCGTCGCCGGCGCGCCCGCATGGACTTCAGGCGCCGCATCTTCATGCACACTCTGCAGCACGGGCGATGCGCCGGCGCGGTGGCCAAAGGCGAACCCGGAGAGCTTGACGTCCCAGTTGGCCGCCAGCAAAATGTGGTTTGGCGTGAGGGCGTTGTGGACAATCGGTGGGTCGAGTTGGTGGAGGTACGCGACGGCGATGGCCACGTCCTGGACGATGCGTAAGGTGACGAGCGGCTCGAGCGGCGACGTGCGCTTGAGCACTCTCTCGAGCGACCCGAGCTGCGTGTACTCAAGGACGATGGTCATTTCGACGAGCCGCGGCGACGCGACGAACCCCACGAGACGCACAATGTGTGGGTGGTCGATGGCCGAGAGAAGAACAACCTCGTGGACGGTGGCAGTGACGGCGGCCGTGTCCGCAGCCACTTTGATGCACACTTTGGTCTGGACGTGCGCCCCCAGGTAGAGCACTTGGCCGTCGATCGTGGCTTGGAGTCGAAGCTTCTTGACGTGTGCGCGCTCGAGCTTGAAGCGCGCGATTTCAGGCGCGCGGAGCGGACACGTGAACGTGGCATCGCCCGCGAGCGGCGGGCAGTACTCGGTCGGGAGGTCTTCCATCATCGAGTAGGCAGAGCTCGCGCACGTGACGATGCTGTCGCGCATGCTCGGTCGGTTGAAGAGGTGCTTGAGAAGGTACATGTAGAGCACGGCGAGGAAGGCAAAGCCGCCGAAAATGAGAATGATTTTGCTGTAGAGCGCTACAAGAGAGAGGATTGAAAATGTTGCTGCTGGGGGAATCGAAGTCACGTAAGCTTACAGCCGGGTGGGACACCGCTCGACTCATTGTCAGGAGGGAGCGCGTCGGTGATGCACACCGTCGTCCGATTCTGGAGGAGCTTGGTCACACCAAAGCACATCTTGTTCAGCGGGATGTTAGCCCCGAGCACGAGGTGCGGCATCGCGCTCAGCTGCGTGTACGTGTCCAGAGTGACATCAAAGATAGAGATCGGGTTGCCCGAGAGGTCCCTAGAAACAACTAACTCCGTGAGAGCACATCTCGGGTGGCAAGTCACCGACAAAGAGACGAGGGAGGCGGGAAAGGTCGGGTTGTTGATCGATGTGATGAGGTTGTTGCGCAGCGATCTAGTCATTTGATGATGCATGGCACTCATTGCACGGTGGATACAGAAGGGTGAGGTTGTTAAAGCTCGTGACAAAGGCGAGCGAGCTCACGAGGTTCGCGCTGAGGTCCCTAGAATCCATACGTGACGCTCTTGGAGCGTGTGCCATGAAACCGTACATGGAGCGCAGCCCCACGAGCTGCCGCAGCGTCGCGAGGGACCCGAGCTTGTTGCTGCTCACGTTCCTAGCACCCGTCATTACATGAGCTACGTCGTGGAGGCACAGCATACAAGGCGGTCAACGCGGGTGCACGTAGCGCACTCATGTCGGCAATGTGGTTGACTGAAAGATCGCTACGCATGTCGATCCATGTCCGAGTGCTGGGATGGGAGGTTGAAGCTTACACGTTGGTGGCAGTCGGCGGCAGCGACATGACGTCTGAGATGAGCAAGCTGCGCGCAAGAAGCGTGTTCTCGTTGACCGTCAAGAGCACCGTGCTATTCTCGTTGCCCGAGATGACGCACGGCTGCGACGCGTTCCAGGGACAGCTTCCGTAGAGCGACGCGCCGGCAGAGACCACGACAATGACGTACTGCGCGAGTGCCATCACCACGGGTGCTTGGCCACGCATGGATACAAATTGCAGGACGTAGGAAGACGGCGAATGTGGTGGCAGTCTTCTTGAAGCGTGTCTGATCTTTGGATTGCACTTTCTAACAAAACCTCTGAGATTCGATGGGCGGATCCCATTCATGGGTGGCGCTGAAAACACCCAACAGCCGCTGCCCATCCATCGCTCGACCAAGGGCAACACATTACGCCCAGCAGGAGACCCAGTAGCAAGAGGTTGGCTCCCACTAGCTAGGACAGCCTGCGTCACACCTGCACCAATTCGTGCAAGCGTGTGTGATGGATTCTGAGCATGGTTGCTGCGACGTGCTTCAAGTAGCTGTCGTGCGATGCCAACTTGGCCACTCAATGGCAATTCCGGGCCTGGCGACCCCGCCAACCGTACCTCTCTTTGACAATTAGCACGTTGGAGCCTATCTGCTTTGTTGGTCACGAGCGCCATGAACCAGAGTCAGTGCTCTCTACGTATGAACGGCTCGAGACCACTGTTCAAAGATCGAAGCAGCGAGCGCTGGTCACCGAATGTGTTGCTCGCAACCTCTGCGCGCGGTCATCCAAGCCGTGATGGCAGCAAAGCGCCCTCGCGACCGAGCATAAAAGCCCCAGGCTCAAGAACCGGATGGGTTGGGTGTTTTCAGTAGCCTGGCGTGCCTTGTGCTTTGATATTGAATAGACTGTGAAACGGAATCTTAATCGATTGCCATTCTAATAGTTTACTGTATCTAATATACCTGTCACAAATGATATTGCACTTACCGCGCCGCGCACCATGACGGCGCCAAGTTGAAGCTGGAAGCGTCCAAAGGGTGAGCTGGGTGACTCGATCATCTCTATATGCCTCAGCACATCGTGTCGCTACAACCAAGCCTGATGGAGGCGCCACCAATGCACTCCAAAACTACTACGTTCTTACTGGAACTGGACCAAGACACGTCACGGCAACCCCGTCCCGCTCGTCGCGAGCACGCGAGGCCAACCAGGAATCTTGCTGCAATCCGATAGTCTTTTGTTTGCAGGCGTCTGTCACCTCGGTTTAGAAGACACGCATCACATGGATTTCGTAGACGTGTCGGATATTCTAGGCTACTGTCTGGGCGCGCTGAAGCAAGGTCGCGACTTGAAGCATACTTGGTCGGTCGGTCAGTGTGGTATTCAAACACGAGGCAATGACGTTCGTCACGGTTTCCACATCGCTGCAATCGGCCGCTAGCTCGTTGAGAAAATGCCCAAAGAGCACAACGTCCGCATGTCCATCTCCCGCGGATGCGTGCGCCAGGCCTGTGAGCTTGGCGCGCCACTCGTTCGTCACGAGCACGTGCGTGGTGGCGACAGCGTTGTGTGCAATGTGACGTGCGTGGAGGTACGAGATAGCATGCGCGACATCCAGCGCAATCTGCAGCCGGATCGGCCACGACGTTGATGGCAGCAGCGCCGGCAGCGGTCCGAGGGCTGCATGTTCTGTCACAAGGGCAAAGTCGAGCAGATTCGGCGACGAGGCAAACCCGACGAGCCCAAGCACGTGCGGGTGCGAGACGCTCGCCAGCATATGCAGCTCGTGCACCAAAGACGTCAGTGCTGATGTGACGGATGCCTCGTCGCCGAGTACGGTGCGGACGACCTTTAGCCCGACGTCGACGCCGTTGCGTAGGCGTGCATCGTAGATGATTGCGTGCGCCGACATGGTGACGAGCTTGCGTTTCGTGAGGTCCTGGTAAGGCACCTGCGTCGCGGGCAGCGACGCTAGCTCGACAAGTGGCGTTGGGATCGCGAGCGACAGCGAGATCCGGTACTCAAATGGCGGTTCCTCAAAACCAGAGTAGTTGGAGCTCACACACGTGGCACGCAGCGCGCGCCGATCGCGCTGCTCGTCGTGAAGGATGCGCCAGCGGCTGAGCACGGTCTTATAGAGCACCATGGACAGCGTCAAGATGCCAAAGATGAAGCTCAGCTTGCCCGTGGTTGCTAAAATGACAATCGACCATGAGTCGTCGCAAGATGGATACAGCGTAGTACATTCTAACACGGGCGTCGACGACACGGCGCCCGTACTCACGACGCAGACAGTTCCCAGCGCCTTGAGCGTCGCCAGCATCCCCGTACACGTTTCGATGCGAATGGCGTCCATATACAGCGTTGGGAGGCGCTGGAGAAGCTGGTACGCGGTTGGCGAGACATCGAAGGTCGTGATTGCATTGCCCGAGAGATCTCTACACACGGTCCCCCTTGCGGCGAGCGGGGTAGATGAATCGGTCAACGTACAAGGAGGCGAGCTTAGGCGGAAAGGACGGATTGTCATTAAGACTGCAGAGGTCGTTCCGACGTAAGGACCTAGAACAATACGTCTCGTCATGACAATAGATACACACGCCATGTACAGAGAGATTAGGGTGGTAAAGTTGTCCATATTGGAGTCGTCGTTGAGGACTCGGATCCCATTGGCACTCACGTCCCTAAGTGGTCGGTACGAGTGAGGTATCAAGGCACACAGAGCGTACAGTGTCTGCAGCGCCGGCAACGTCGTGAGCATCGCAAACGTCGATAAGCGGTTTGTGCTGAGATTGCTATATTATTGTCATTCGCATCAGGTACGAGAGGAGACACGCAACGTACAGAGAGAGCACCGGCGTCGTTAAATTGCTGGCAATATCGGCGATCGCATTGCGCGAGAGGTCGCTATCACACATAGGATTCAGCGCAGGTGCTAGCAAGACGCTTACATCGAGGTAGCGGCGACTGGAAAGCTGTGGACGAACTCAATGTCGGCGTCCCGCGCAACGAGCGCGCCGGTGCGGGTCAATGGAAACCAGCGCGTCGTGTTCGAGGCAGCGTACCGAACGCATGGAACCGCAGCGCTGCTGTTCCAGGCGATAGCAGCAGCGTCCGAGCAGTCGCCGTAGAGGGTGTTGGCGACGACGACGTGGGCCAGCATGGTCGAGTGGCATCTGAGTTGGAGGGATGTCAAAACGAATCCACCAATGGCATCGCAGGTACCATGGTCATCCGGATATACGCATCGTGGATTGGCTGGCGTCAGTCCGATGGATCGTGCCGCACATCCGACAAACTCGCGCCGACGGGACAACGTCGGTAGCGACTGCAGAGCAGTTGATGCACCAAGCTGCCTGGCCTGGCGCGCACCCGTTTAGCATGCATAGACAGACAGGTAGCCGGTGAGTTTGTTTGTTACGGTGTAGTAGCATCCGCTTCAACGGCAATGTCGCTGGCACTCTCGGTCACGCGACCGTTGGTCGATAGCCAGGCGACGACAGCGTCGGCGGTCGGCCGCTCCAACGGGTTAGCTCGGAGGCACGCCGTCGTAAGGGTTTGGATATAGTCGGGCATTCCATCCGAGGGCTCGCCCGCATTGGACAAGTCGAGCGCTTGGAAGAAGCGCCCGAGAAGGTACACATCGGCCGCTTTGGTGCTGCGCGCCGCGTCGTCGGCGCCAACGCTCGCGCTTTGTTCGAGACCGCCCAGCTTGATGTGCCACGTGCTCGATACAAACACGGTGTCAATCGAGATGGCGTTGTGCACGACGTTCTTCTCGTGGAGGTAGGCGACGGCCGCCGCCACGCTGCGCGCCATCGTCGTCTTGGGCACCATGAGAGCATTGCTGCTCGTCCAGTGCAAGTACTTGTTCAGACGCGGGTCGTTGAAGACGGTCGCTAGCGATCCATACGCCATGGGTTCGGTCAAGAGCGCGAGATCGAGGAGCGACGGCGACGCTGCGAAGCCCACCAACCCGACAAGGTTGTCATGGGAAAGGACCGAGAGCGTTTGAATCGCACGCAAAAGGCCGCGCAAGTGCGTGTGCATGACAAGGGATGACGCACAGGGCGTCAGCACGGTGCAGTCGACGCGGTCGGTGCCGATGCGCGCAGCATATGTGGTCGTCGTCTGCGTCGGCGCCGTTAAAAGTTTGAGCTTCTTGAGGTCTTTGATCGGGCACCGATACGTTTTGAGCGAATCCAGTTGGTGCGAGAACGCCGTCCCGTCAACCTGAACCGAGAGCGAGATGCGGTACTCCACCGGGTGGTTCTCTTCGACCCGCGAGTAGTTGGACGAGAGTCGCGTGTCGCGGAAGGCGAGCTCGGGCTGCTGACAGCGCCGACGACAATACTTGCGCCTGAGGAGCAGCACGGCGATGGCCACGATGGCAAGCGCACAGATGACGACAACGAGGATGCCATACGTGGCTAGTGAACGCAACATGATGAATCCTCACATTGCCGGAAGGACGGAAGCGGGTACTGGAGAGGAACGCCGTGCCGGGCGACGATGCGTCGAGCACGCAGACGCGCGTGGTGTCATGGAGGAGCCGCCACGTCGCAAAGCACGGCGCCGTGGTTGAAATGTTGCGCAGACTGTCGCGCGGTAGCGTGGCCAGCGCTGCAAAGACCGCTTCCGAGACCTCGAACGTGCTGATCGGGTTGTCCGAGAGGTCTCTAAAGACAAGCAATTCGGCATGAGGCGAGATGCATTTTGGTCACCTCATCAATGTCGGTAGTAAATAGGAAATCGTACAAGAAAGCGAGGTGGGCCGGCAGCGAGACCAGACGCAGTGTCGTAATACCATTGCTCGCGAGGTTCCTACGCCGTTATGAGAGGTATGAGAGACGGTGGTATCGTAGCAGGCAGAGACGGACAAGGACGTGAGCGCGCTCAGTTGCCCGAGCTGCGTGTCGGACGGAAACGCCGTGATACCGTTGTGGCTCGCGTCCCTAGTCCATGAAGCTATGAACGCACATCCGACCAGAGCGCGCGTACAAGGTTGTCAGCGCCGAGAGTGATGTTAGAGCGTCCAGCGACACGAGCCGATTATGGCTCACGTTGCTACAGCGCACATAAAGCCATGGCGACAAGAGAAGTAGTACAGCGACTGGAGCATGGAGCTGTTTTGGCGTCGGTAGATGACGGAAATGACATTCGCCGAGAGATCCCTATATGCGTGCATGATGCGTTTGCGTAGCGCTCTTGTCCACGTACAGGCGGACGGCGGTGGGCGGCAGGGCTTGGACGGTGTCGAGGCCAAGGCGGCGAAAGCTCGTGCTATTGTCGGCCAGAAGGGTCACCGAGTTGTTGGGGTAGACGACGCAGGGTGTGGCGCCGCAGAGCTGGAGCGACGTCGCCGCGAGGGCCATGTGGCTGCTCAGGAGGACCAGCAGAGCGCGCTGCATGCTCCCGAATATTCACAATCGGCCATCTCTCTCGCGCATCAGTGTCCCACCCACTCTGTCCCGGCAACAACCAATCCCAAGCCGCGGGCAGTTGATGTGGCGTTGAACCTGATATGCTGGATTCAGTAGATACCTTGCGTATACAAATCGTTCGAGTCGCTAGGCCAACAAGACGAGCAGGCTTGGCCGTGAGGATCAAGTCCGCTCGGCGCAAGCAAGGGAATTGTTGGCGCAAAGTCGATCGCCAGTCACGAGCATTAACTATTGCTTTCTATAGAAGAGAAAAAGAGTTTTTCAGTGTTTATGGGCGGATGCAGTTGCCGGTGGTCTCGTCTCGTGCGAGGCAAAGAAATGCGTCGTCTTCAGGTCTTCAAAAGACGCACCAAGGGCGCTCGCGCAGAGATCACCGTGCAAGGAGCGTCATTGTCCTTTTAAATGCATTTAAATCAATTCTGTCAAAATCGCCGCAACTTCGACCGCCGTCGGCCGACGTGTCGGGTCCGTGTCCACACAGCGCGCCACG